ATAAATGTTGTCAGAAACAATCAGACAAATTACGTACTGTTATTTGATTTTATGTTTTCCAATGTAACAAAGAGAATTTGTCAGAAATGCAGATAACTACCGTCGTCGTTGTGCGTGACTTTGCGTCAATCATAGCGTCACACAGGACGGGAACTTTTACGATTTCTGTTGAATTTCCCTGATCATTGTAATGTATATAATATTAATTCCATAATTCGTGCTACGATACTCTTCCCACGAATATTCTCAAACGCGTCAGCCAATATATGCAACAATTAGACGAATTGATCTCTCAAAATGGGAGAGTGGAAAATCTGAATTTTGCTTTGTTTACACTTCATCAAGTACAGTTTTCCGAGCACAGTGTTCGTTTCCACACCTAATTTATTTGCTTGATGTCATCTCGATAATTTGTATTGGTGACAAAGACCATTTGTCTCTTAAATATGAAATGTAGGAGGAATTCAGGGATGCAGGTATCGCAGCTCAGTTTGAAATGTACGTGACCCAATAGGCGTTTCATGACCCGCACACGTGAAACGTGTTTTTGTCAACACTATCCAATATGGCGGAAAGTCACTTCGGCGTTCGTGTTTTGGTATTTTCCAAAACATTCTAAACGAATCCAGGCTCCTCGGCGACGTTTCAGAATTATCATTATTAAAAAGTAGCAACAACAAATGAATAATAAGTATATGTCCACGGGAAAGGGAAAAGTGTAAAATCGAGAAATATAGAAATACATTTTCTCCTGACATGAAAGAATAGTGTAAATATGTGGCCATGCTGCGTTCAAGACACAATTCTTCTATAAATAATAAACTAATAGTGAACGGTTTAAGTAGAACTGTTTGTACTCGTCATAACTAATGTCGGTTTAATAATGGTAGCCCACTGAGGTACCATGCCGACAACAAGTACCATCTTTCAAAGTCTTGTTATAGTGCACCCTATTTCAATACTTTTATTTAAAATAGTGCAAACCATTTCAATATTTATTTAATATTTCATCTATCTAAATACCTAACTGGTTCAATATGTTTCCAAGTGCACCGAAATTCTATGCCCTTTGTCTGTTTAATATATACAGCAAACATTTGGCATAACCCCTCTTATCATAAGCCCCTCCAGCGCTATGTATAAAGTTCTATTAACACCTCCTTACGTCGCCGGATCTTACGTCTATACATACACGTGGGACAATGACCTTGCCACACGTTACGTAATACCTCGCTCTACAAAACCCGACTGACATGGTCAGTCAGGGAGATAGCTAGAAGGTTCGTGACAGAGCGAGTCTCCACCCGGGAACATTGGCTACTCGGTGTGCATTCTGTCACGTTGTTATCAACATGTACCTTTTCGACTTATTCCAAACCATCAACAATAAACATTGCTGCTGTCGTCTTAAACTTCACCCCCGAGTTTTGTCATCCGTCATCACCCTGAGCTACCATCCGAGGGCCGAAACTTACGCCCTTGAACAGATGGTGGAGAATCCGGGTAATATTCATGTAACACGTGAGTACGCCAACGTTCAGCCATGCTACCAACACTCAAGATCAAGTCGACCAACGTCAAGATTCATTTGCAAGTGCCCACTGATATATGTGTGTGTAATATATATACAATATATTTGAACTTTCGTTCCAACTCTCAACGTGTACTGTGCTTATACTATTCTCACGGACATTCTTGTTCATATAAGGTATGTTATGTAATCAAGTCATTATTGTTTCGGTGTCTTAAAACTTTGTCATGTTTTTCTATAAAGAGTATTTATTTCAATCTATGTATTGTTATCAGAGGTACATCCTTATCAGATTGAGTTTTTGAAAACGGCTAGGTTCTTACTCTATTCATGTCCTACACCCTACGCTTATACGCATTTAGTGCAGATCCACGATATCTGCGGGATCCGAGTGGTCCCATACAAATCAGACTCCCGCTTTCAAGGATTTTTCTTTTATGTTGTGGCCCTAAGTTGTGGCCCTATAACCATTACTGTAGACAATAGCTTTGAAAAGTTATCCAATACCCTACAGTTTCCTGCTTATATCTTCATTTATTCCTTTTTGAGTATGTAAGCACTGAAATTATTTGTACTCTTTGTGATAACTGATAAAATCGATGTAGTAGCAGGGATTGTAGAAGTATAATAAGTTAGGGAGCCTCGTTGCTTTCCAAGCTTCTTCAGTGGAGACTGTGTATACAATCTATATCCTATATCCTTCGTTTTGCCAACGTGATTCTGTGCTTAATTATGATACCAGCGAAAATTGTGTATATTCGGGCGATCAACCGTAAATGTAATTCACACTTGAAAATAGAACTATTGCATGTTCAGATAAAACAATTACAACACTTGCAATTATATCCTAACTCAGCATTCATTTAATGCTCACTCAACATACCTGTGAATTATAACAATTCGGATGTTTGATGACAGATTGTTCGACATGGTGTGTGCTGGGTCAGTAACCCATGTAGTATTTTTTGGAGGACAGACATGTAATCTGCCTCTACAACAATTGCAGGCATTGCGCTAGCCAGAGCACAGGATGTAGCTGACAGACAACAGTAAGTTTGTACAACTACAACTACAGACTGTGAAATTACTTGCTAGAAAGGTATGTTGTTAGTGACATAAATCATGAGTAATAAAGAACAGACTAAGGTCAAATTCAGCCTGTGACATAATGTAGTGCCAAAAGTTGATGACATTAAACAAGCCAGCTCCTCACAGCGAAGGTCCCTGTGACGAAGGTTTTCAAGCGCTCGGACTGTAAACACAAAAGGAGGTCACTCCATTACGGAGTCTCCATGGGTATGTCTATTTCGTGCATTTATGTTCCCAAATACAACAATGATGTCATCTTACCCTTGAAGATCCGGGGTAGAATAGGTCGTCAGCAACCTATGCTTGCCTTTAAAGGCGACTAAGCTTGTCGTAAGAGGCGACTGACGGGATGTGGCGGTTAGGCTCCCTGACATGATAGGTACGTGTCATCGTATCCCAATTGCGTAGATGGATGCTAACGATGTCAATCACTGGATTGTCTGGTCAAAACTTGATATTTACAGGTCGCTGTCATAAAATTGGAATATTGCTGAGTGCGGCATTAAACAACAAACAAACAAACACAGTGGTATTATCACTGAGGACATGGCACATGATTGCATGTTGGTTATTGACATTTAAATGCATTAAAATATCTGAAATCCACTTAAAGTAGCTGCAATGTAAAAGACATTTATTTACATAATATGTTATAAACAGTAAAGACAATATAAACTACATGTATAATGACAAAAGCGTTCCATATCTATATTACCGTATTTCAAATGTATATAAAGTTATCCAGAATGTGGGTTGATAATTTCTATACAAATTATGAGGAAGCATTAAGATTATAATGTAACGCAACCTCTGTTCTGAGGATACTGAGGACCTCTGTTCGTCGTTGGCTAACCACACTTCATTGAATATGAAGTGATGAATAATGCCATACAATGTAATGATTGGATACAGTTGTCATATCTTCTGTCGAAAATGTCATTCTGGCCAGTAAATGACAATAAACATCATAAAGTTTGCTGCTTTATACTTTATACCGAGAGAGCTAATGATGTACACTTCACTTGCATCCGGGGATATTTTAACGTCAGCTCCATTCAGTTATTGATGCTCACTCGCATACTATTTACGGCAGTGCCTATATATATATATATATATATATATATATATATATATATATATATATATATATATATATATATATATATATATATATATTTGTAATATAAATTGTAATATGTAAGACGCAAATCAGGCACGCATGCAAGTTACAACAATTCACGTTGAATCTGAGTGTTCACACACAATTAATACAATATCACAAGCCATGGATTCAGTGTAGGTGAAATAGAATGGTCGTTTTTAGGATTTAGGTCAATGCAAAAATAATTGGATGTTTTTGGAAATATCATTGTGTGAGTGATATACAACACAATAGAAGTTTCGGCAAACCGCTGCTTAATATTTCAACGCGGTTATGAGAACGTAATGGGAGTCGGACATGATGTACAAGACATTATCGGGATGTGCATGAAGAACAGGAATAGGAAAAATATGGCTGTTAAAATGCTTCTCCTGCTGGTATACACTTGTTTCCGTTAGTACGGCTAAAGTTGGTTGGTTGGTTGGTTGGTTGGTTTGTTGTTTAACGCACCAGTCGGCAGTATTCCAGCTACATTGTATATGACGGTGGTCTGTAAATAATCGAGTCTTACCCGAAAATCCAGTGATTGATATCATGAGCATCGATCCACGCATTTGGGATCGATGACATGCATCAACCAAGTCAGCGAGCCTGGCCACCCGATCCTGTTAGTCGCCTTTTACGGCAAGCATGGGTTATAAGTTATAAGATACCATATGTATCATAATGTAAGTCTGACGTATCTAAAACTGAGCCGTAGTATTATCTCAATACACAGACATCTTGAATATTGAAAGTACTGCAGAGTCCTTTACAAGAGTAATCAATCTGAATGGGAGAAAAGCAATATGCAATGTTGAATGTGTGTTCAAGGTTAAAGTATGATGGTGGTTTTTGTACATAGGTGTGTATGTTGAGAGATGGATATAACATACTACATAAACACTAATGCCAGCACTAAATGTAAGAGAAATTCCACAATTCAATCATGAAACTGCCATTCTTTTCTTTAGACAACTAAATATAAGGCTGATTACTTGCAACTATGCTGTATTTATCTCGGATTTATATGTAACCCGATTGCAAGATAGCAAACACACACAGCGATGGATTCAACAAAAACATACAAAGGTTTGCAACAGGAAAAAGATAACACTAGTTTAGCCTATTGTCCGTCCCTTGTTCAACTTTTTTCTTCACATTGTCAACAATGCACGTAAACAATACGTTATCCTCAGATACATTCTGAAACATAAGTCATGCATTGCGTTCAAAATAACTTGTCCTCATACAAGGAAAGTGTGGTTTGCATATTCAGTCGCTGTGAAAGTACAGGCGTGGTACTCCAACTCCTGCCAGTTCAACATGGCGGTTGTCAGGTTACTCCGGGTGGTGGTGCTGGCTGGGTGGATGCAACTGTTATTGGGTAAGTTGTCCTTGGATTGTGATTATAATGTATACATACTGTTTCATCTTTAAGCTGCAGTTGCATTTTGTAGAAGGGATATTATCTGAAATCATTGTATTATAGGTGGTATGTGAAAGATTCGAAATAAATGATATAACAATAAATGTAGTTTCAAATACACTTTGTTTCATTTTTGTATCTTGATGTTTAACAAATTTTGGGCTCAAGAAATTGAAGTCACACATTGTATCCATGTTTGGGGTCGCCCAAACGCTTTTACCACCTGTATTTAGGTCCACATTTAATCCATAATATGATCACACACGACAAACACCGTGTACCGGATCCTTTGTATACATTTTATGAGAAAATATGCAGGTCATGCAGCACTTCGGACTTTCCTCCCACAAAGCATGATCCATAACAGATAAATGGGCCCAGGGCTCGAGTGAGTGAGTGAGTGAGTGAGTGAGTGAGTATGGTTTTACGCCGCTTTAAGCAATATTCCAGCAATATCACGGCGGGGGACACCAGAAATGGGCTTCACACATTGTACCCATGTCGGGAATCAAACCCGGGTCTTCGGCGTGACGAGCGAACGCTTTAACCACTAGGCTACCCGACCGCCTCACCCCCCCCCCCCCCCCCCCCCCCCCCAGGGCTCGAACTCAGTCCCAACAATTGTAAAATATCGTAGTAGCCTGACATTTCATTATCAGCCGTTCCATGTATGATAGAAATACTATTAGTCATACATCAACAACACATACAACACATATGCGGAGACAAGTTTAAACCTCGGTTAGATACGAACCTGCAACACTGACAGACTACTTTCAGATTCTTGGGGTACCCCTGGGAATTCTCAAGCACGTATACACTCATACAGAAGCGATCTTTCTGATTATTTAGACCCTTTAATCTTGAACTCAGCGTCGTACTTAGTATATATTTAGAAACGTCAGATAGTTTGACTGCATGATCGTTCACGAATATCCTCGTCGCGACCCATCCTTGTGAACTACATGAAGGAAGGCACATCCCAGCTGTCGTAGTATTGACTTGATCCGTGTCTAGGCTGACAGTGACAGCATACAGCAATCTATATATTTACCTTGATCTTTTATCACCTTTCAATGATCGACCAATGGATCAATGATGACTAAAACATGTTACCGCCACAGATTCATTAACAACTTAATGAAATCTCTCCCGTCACGTTTGTTCTGTGGGCAACATCTTGTAATTGATGTAAATGTATTACGATACGCTGTCATTGTGACTTACTGAGGTTGCTCTTAACAGACCTTTCTCATCTTATGGTGGTACTATTATGGTGGTACATGTGTTGTGTCAGATGCTTTTGAAGAGCAAGTTGTGCATGGATACGCGAATATCAGCTTTTGTTTTAGGAACTATTTTATTCCGCGATACAGTTGGTTGTTGTATGGCTGTCTGGGGAAACATGAAGTCACACATACTTCAGATAGTAACGTATTATATCAAATGCATCTGAAACGAGCTGTCTGAAACTTCCCATGCCAATTCTATCTTTAAAACATCAACGCCAGAGAATAACCAGTCTGAACTATCCACCGAACGAACGATGTAAAGTGTAAAAAGCAAATAAAGGATGTCATGAGCGGGTCACTGAAAATAAGTGATGACACCAGGTGTTCGCGAAAAGGATAAGAGTTGGTATGTCTTCTTTTCCCCACCATAAGGATGAAGTTGAGGGATTCTCTTGGCTACTTTGTATAACTCATTTCAAGACATGGTAACGAATGAACAACCCTGAAATAATTACACTTGATAGACTGAATGGATGTCTAGTTTAAAGGGTACAGGCAAATTATACTGAACAGTTACATGATCGACTGATAATAACAAAAAAACTATCTCAACTGTAGCTGTAGAGCTGAATAGGGAATGGGGTGGAATGTTCACGCGAACAAATGACCTACACTATTCGCCTCTGTTTCATTACAAGACATTCATGATTGTACCTAAAGCATTCTTCCCCTGTGATAGGCTTTGAATAATACCTCAATAACTCATTTTCAAAGGAGAAATTGAAAGCAGTACAATTGTTGTGTTGCTAGAATGATAGATTATTGTGTACTAACTCAGAATGTGTGCAGTGGGCGTAACACTAGGCTTAGTTTGACGGGGTATTGCACTGGTTGTTCAACAATGAGGGTGTCAGGATGTTTGTGTTAGTGGTGTTACTGAGCTGGATACAGCTGGCTTCGGGAGAGTATCAGATTAGTGTATGCCGGTGACATATAAATTAGGCACTGAAAGCTAGCTATTGCATTTGATTTGCTGAGACCCAATAGTTTATAATATAAGGCCTTTGCAAAGGCATCCTTTGCACAATCGAGTTTTAATTCTATTTACTTTCGGTTTGATTCTAATATTTGTTTCTTAATATTAACGTTTGAATTAATTACTCAGTATCTGTATGCCGAACCCTTTGGCAGAGTACCAACGACTGTTTATCAATAAGGTGACCGACTGTTCAATCTTTTTGGGTCGGTGGGATAGCCATGTTTTGACAATATTGGCTTATGCCATCGAGTCTTCATGTTCGAGGCAACAGTAAGACCTGTCAGTTAATTTATACTTCGTTTGTGATGATTGGAGTGTGTATTACTGGAAAAAAGTGACACATATGCTGACTTCAGCAACGGAACATGTTGGATAATGTATGGGAGGCATTGCATTGTGTCATTACTGTAACGAAATGGTGTCAGCTTTAGAACGATATAATTACAGCAAAAGCAGCACACTTTGCATAATCATTCTTAAAGATATCAGGGTCCTTTTCCTTTTTATTTAAAGTCTATCTGAAATGCTCAATAGCACCATGGTATAATATTTCCAATACAGAATCAGTACGTGGAACAAACAATATCAAATCAGTTATTTGATAAATTTATTAATTCCTTCAGTTAATTGAGAAAAAACAAACAAACACATTTAACACTGATTAAGTTTGACTCGGTTGACAGTGATATTACTGAAGAAACTACAGATGCAACGGGGGATTATAACACGTATACATAATATTTTGGATCTGACAAACAAGAACTCAATATACCCATGAAGGAAAGGTATTTAATTAATTCATTCATTAACTGAAACACCCGTTTGAGGGTCTAGTCCATGACTTTTTTTTAGAAACAGCAGGATGGTGTGATGATCAGTCACAATGTGCATACTGTATTGATTTGATATTGCTGAAATAAGGAAATTGTTATTTCACGAACATATGATCCATTCAGAATTATATGAATGCACCTGGGAAACAGATGAGCACTTCTTGAGATAATGAATTATTACATGTGAATAACTGTAATGGCAATGATAATTACACAAAGAGGTGAAAGGTCATGTTTGACGATAATGTTAGAACTCACCATGGCATGCACGTGAAGGATGCCATTCCCGGAAATACAGTATGTACAGGCATCAAATTTTGGTATTTGATCCCGCTGACTTGCTATGTTTAATAATTCCCTGTAACCATGACAAGAGAAATGTTCGGAATACATTCCATAGGGTTATCTTTCAACTGACGTCCATCGGGGGTCACCTAGGCTACAGCTACACAGTCATCAGGCAATCAAGACATTGTCTAACCAGTGCTGTGACAGACCTGCCAAGGTCATAACGGCCTCATGTGAGGTCACATCGCGGAGACAGGACAACGCATCCTGTCCCGTGTGTCCATCAGAACATTACAGAACCACTTGAGAGCAGCAGGAGCAGCAGGAATGGCGTCCAGTCATTAAACCCCCTTAGCGACAGGGGTTCCTTTTTGGCATGCTGTTCAGCAAAAGTCTGAGCAACTAGCACAAAATACATTTCGGGACAATCCTTTGTAAGTGGAACATCCAGCCCAATCAACTTCAGAAACGAAAAGCAGACTCCTCAAAATCAGACAATACATCAGCAATCTCGGAAAATATCACAACATCCATCGGAACAATGTCCAATTCCTCTCCAACAACCTTCATGACTTCACTTAAAGAAACAACCCAAATGTGTCCAGAGCACATGGTTGTCTGGCCAGTGTTTCACAGCTATCACCAATGAGTACATCCATATTATTAGCAATTGAGATCCAATCTTCTATGTCCTGATGTGTCCAGATGCATGTAATGAATTGTCATGTAAAATGTCATGCCGGTTAAAATCCATAGCTGTGGTAGCCTGAGATTCCTTGCACTTCTTTTCAACAATGCTACCCAATCATTCTTTACTGTACTGCAATGTTAGATTACTCTCAATTGCAACAGCAACATGTGGATCAGCAGAGCAGACATGTGGCCTCGTGGATATTTTAGACTTTCCTTAAAAAAATACGGAGTTGTAACACAAATGCAGGTTTAATTTAAGAACCTGGATAAATAAACAAAGGGTGTGTTACACACACCGCACTAGCTATCAAGAAGCAATGGCAACTTGGTAACTTTCACCAGCGAGCTTGCAGCTACTTCTTTCAACAATGCAGAAGGTGATACGAATCATTTAGACGTTACTGCACATATGTACGTGCATGGCATTAACACGCACACACACACGCACGCACGCACGCACGCACGCACGCACGCACGCACGCACGCACGCACACACACACACACAGCCGGCATATTTTATTTAATAGATGATATAACCAACATGACCTGATGACCGGGTGTTTCACTTCAACATTGGTCAACATGGCGGGGGTGCTAGTGGGGTGGATACAGTGAAGAGGTCGACCATTTAAATATACTACCACCTCAGCCACCTCATGACATATGAATAGGGCAACTCAAGAAATAGATGTGTATCGATAGGTCAGGAGAGGTCGCTTAATACTGTCAGTGACAACACATCCTAGCTAAACGTTCTGCACGGGAGCCCCAAGCAACTATAGCATGAGCTGAAAAAGATAAAACAAGCATATTTTGTTAACTGACATCTGCCAATCCAGAGCGAACTGGTTTGACTTATAATCTGCCTTTACAATTTCCAACCTGTCAAATATGGGACAGAATGGGATTCACAAGCGAGCACGCAGCGACTTCTTTCAACAATGTAGATGGTAATGTGTGTCTGTTCATATATCATTTCACATATATGGCAGTGACAATTAATAAAACTAGACAATTTGAACAAAAACACTCAGGTTTTAAAGCTATCAAACTTTCAGTCGAAAAGCTTTTCTCACTCGTTAACGATCTGAATGTAACATGCCTGGTTACAGGAAGTGATCAAAGAGTAGTAAACAGAAATTATGCATAAGTATTATGTATTAAGTAAAATATCGCGAGTCAGAGAACAAAGGAATTAAGTTGCTGGATTTTATAAGTTTGATTACAACATAACAACAAGAGATAATTTATTGAATATATTGTCGTTAGTTGAAAAAAATAACAGTCAGAAATATTCCAACTATATGACAGCAGCCTTTAAATAATTGAGACTGGACATCATGAGCTTCGATCAACGCAATTTGGGTACGATGACATGCATCAACCAAGTCAGCGAGCCTGACCACCTGATCCCGTTAGTCGCCTCTTACGACAAGCAGGTATTCATAGTCAGTCTTCAGCGGTTAACCATCTATAGCCTACGGGACTGCGATCGTTAAATTTACCTCATGCTGAGGATCCTGTGATCACAATGCCTGAGTCCAGTCATCCATACCCGAGGTCCAGTCATCCTTACCCCAATATCCAGTCACGCTTTCCGCTTATAAGGCCATTGATCTCCAATTACAATGCACACTGTCTCCCATGGCGGTTTTATTCATCGAATTTCGATATAACATTGAATATATAAAGGGAAAGTTTGTTTTGAAATTGAACAACAGGAAAATAGACCAGTGTCTGGCAATGAAAGTAAGTGATATATGTGGGAAGAACATTTATTTTAAAGAAATCAAGCTCCAAAACACAACAGTTTGCAAGAGTGAACACTAACTAGAGGTGAAGTAAGATGAGATAGAATGGTGTTTAACGTCGCATTCAAGATGGTTGCACATATATATTGAGGTGTAAGCGTGCGCGCCTGTGTATGTGTGTGTGTGTGCGTGTGCGTGTGCGTGTGCGTAAGCGTGGCTGCCTGTACGGCCCCAGGCTGCCAACAATAACACACACAGCAGAAGTCAATAGGTCACTCTGGTAAGTAAGAGGTTTGTGCTGAAAGAAGGTGGGAAGTGCTGTGATTAACAGTTTTTTTAAAGTATATTATGTAACTTGTTACATATGTACGTCTGTATCTACATGAGGGCTTTGGTTTCATACAATCTACATGTACCACAAGACGGACGCAATGGCAAATGATGTAGCATGATATCCACTCAACACAAGTATATATCTACAGGGGCTAGATAAAGATAAATATATCACAGGATCTATGATTTACTTTGTACCTATATGTAGGTACATGATGAAATGCCGTGTATTAAGCATATGTTGGTATATCACCCGGCATGAAACACACTTCAAACAAAACTTAGGCTTTTCCCACTAGTGGAGATCTGTAACGAAGTAGCATGCGTTGTGTGAAGGCTCGTTCCTCGTGTCTCTGCTCTTTCTCAGAGATATTTGCAGCACATCAGGTAAAATGCCCGGCGTAGTTAATTTCACCTGGTAGGAAAAGACAGAATGAACTTATTGTATAATAACCAGCAACTTTATAGGATTTGTCCTTTTCAAGTATCTTTCTATGTACACTACCTACCTTCTTTAGTGTAGCCCTTGGCGGTCTGATCAGTGCAGCATGGTTTGCATATGTTTTTTACGGGTGCCACCGGTGGGCAGGATAAGCTCATCTTTGCGTGAACAACCGGTGTCATCACTATTTGAGTTGTGATTCATAAACACATGCTTATGACACAGACAAGGATATGATGTATCTGAGGATATGTGACAGGGCAAATAAGCGACAGCAAGATATTGAAAACTTAACACGTTGTTTGTTGAGAGGAGAAATGTGTCTATTAATAATCAAGTTGTTTGAATCGAAAATGTCGACCCCACGGACCACCATTTAAATGTAAAGAAATACAATGTTAATACTCAGAAGCAACATGTCTCATGTAATATCTCATCATATGGGCGGCCATCTAGCCTAGCTCCTTATCTTAATTTGATACTTGTATATAACTGAACAGTGGTCAATCTGTCTACCCAGTAAACGAAGATCAGCATCTCCTCCATTGAACACATGGTGCGCTGATCCAGGTTGATAACTTTCTCATCTCTGTTGGAATAATATGTTTTAATGCACAAACCACGCCCGCTGTCCATTTCAAGGCTTTTTGAAGGATGAAACATCTTTGTAAACATAACTGATGATAGATATTTAGGTAAGGTTGAATAAATATACTTCGATTTATATGAGTCTGCTAAATGTATATGACATGCTGAAGTTTTATGCCACCGGTTCACGAATGCAGTAGCGCACACACGCCAAACGTACACATGTATAAGCTCATGAAAACCGTTGGGCAAAAATACAACACAGCCTAGCATCGGAGTTGGTGGAATCAAACGCCCAACTATCAACTGTCAACTGTAATATTCAGAGTCATCTATTATATTCATAATTGTCATTTCCAGTAAATTCGATTCAGGTCCCTTACAACTAACTTTGTTTGCCTGATAGCTCAACTTCAATTAAGACCAATACTTTTTACCGTTGATGATATAACATAGAGAATTTGTCTGAGAAACATACATTATTGATTACAGTGTCTAGATATAGGACAAAATTACCACAACAATGGAAGCTTTCCCTCAGCGTACCACAGGGTAAACTGCAACTGTTGAATCTCACCAGTTCACCAGGCTGTTTGCAGACTGCAGACCATCATGTGAATGTTTCATCTCACCTCCTTGTATCTCGTCACAGGTTCCTGCCCACCAGGCCAGTTTGGAGACTCCTGCAGCTACTCCTGCAACTGTGGGACATCATGTAACGAGACAACAGGTGCTTGTTCTGGTGATTGTGACACTGGATGGAGGAAGGCAGGGGGCCTCTGCCAGAAACGTCAGTTCCACATACGTTTTACATTTCTATATTGATGGGTTCAGTATCCTGCTCTCTGCTGTGTGCCAAATACCTCTTCTAGCAACCAATTACAATAGGGTTATATTCTTATAACATCCATGTACAATACACTTGTAATACAAAAGACAACTTGTTGGTTTGTGGTTTTCATTACACTGTTTTTATCAACAGTGGAGCTTTCGTCTGTAGCTATACATGTAAACCCACGTTAACTTGATATACATGTTAAAGTAGACACTATTTACCAATTCACACTTGTCAGAGGGGTACTCAAAGTACGTGATCTAGATTACCAGTTGTCGGACTTTCATTTTGTGGAAGCGTCGGACGGGACTCAACCCAGAGAATCTGTACTTAACTACGAAAGATATATTAGTAATTATGTTATTTTCACAACGACTTGACTCAACTTATGCAGGGTCATCCTCAGTAATTGTATGTACTGCGATCTGTATGAAAGTGTGTATGTGACATGATAATTGAACTACACAGAAAACATTGCACTGAACAAGGCAGCATCAACAACATCTGGTCAATATAGCAACTGGTCCCCATCAAAGGCTGTTGACGGAGACAGAGACATAAATGGTGAGGGAAGAACCTGTTTCCACGCTGGTAGATCTCAGTCAGACTGGACAGTGGATCTTGGCCGGGACTACCAGCTGTATGACATCAGAATCTACAGCAGACGTAACTGTAGGTATCCAGTCTATGGGAGAGTGATGCTATTCTGATTGTCAGAATAGTTGTGTGTAGATTGTATTGTACTCTCCTTAGACTTCTAATCTTTTATCACAATGTATTCAAGATCACAATGTACACAAAGATAGTAATATATTTATCAACATATATAAACACTCAACATCAATTAATGAGCTTTTATGCATGTACCGTCTTAATGTTTTAAACAACAATTAGGTGGTCAACAAAAGACAAGCAGACACCCAAATATTCTCAACAACAAAGGTTCCTGTGACACCAATATTTTAGTGCAATTTTCAAACAAGTAAAGTTTGGTTTTCAACATTGTAGTACATGTATGGAATCAAGTCAAAAACGCAACTGCGACAGCAAAGCATACATTCAACGCAAAAGGTGACTTTTATGCAAGCCCCATGCATTTCACTACCCAAGAATGGGTATAAAAACATGTGCGTTAACGGGATTCCATATGCATTGTTTAGCATCGTGCTGATAACACCCACTCAGAAACACAACAAACTTACGCAATTATTGAACATTACGGAATGCCACGCCTGTCCGAAAATAAGCGTCTGCAAGCCTTTGGTATGCTTGAAGCAGGATCGAGTCAACGTGATGTTGCAAGACATTTTAGCGCCCACAGAAACACCATTTGGTGTTTATGGCAACGTTAGCAACAGACGAATGCAGTCAGAGACCATCCTCGCAGTGACAGGCCACGCGTAACCAACAATCGACAAGACAACTGGATTCGAACAACACAACTACGAAATCGATTCCATCCAGCAACAGTGACTGCAAAAAGCATCCCTGGCCTTCGACGAATATCTTCAGAAAATGTATATAGTCGCCTCAGATGCGTAGGGATTGTCGCCAGAAGACCCTACAGACGTCCCATTTTGACAGGAAACCACCGTCAAGTGAGTTTACAGTGGTGTAGACAGTGTCTGCGCTGGGCGGCCATGCAGTTGGGACAAGTTCTATTCACTGACGAGTCTCGTTTTCACCTCTGCAACAGCGATGGACGGATTCGAGTGTACTGACGTCGAGGTGAACGTTACGTCAATAATTATGTCATGGAAGAAGATCGGTTCGGGGGCGGCAGCGTTATGGTATGGGGTGTGATGGGGTGGAAAGACAGAGGACCCGTTTGATAGTGGTAGAGGGAAATCTCATTGAACAGCGCTACTGCGACGAGATCATCGGCCCTGTTGTTCTACCGTTTTTGCGCCGTCATGGCCCAGGCATTACCTTTCAACATAACAACGCCCGGCCTCATATTGCTCGACTTGGTCAGGATTCTCTTCAACAAAACAACGTGAATGTCATCCCCTGGCCGGCTCGCTCCCCTGATTTCTAACCAATCGAGCATATGTGGGATGAGATGGATCGGCGCCTTCGACGTCAACCACATGTTCCACAGACACTCCAGGAACTTCGAAACATGCTCCAGCAGATTTGGGCAGATATCCCACAGGACTTTGTGCGAAGCCTGGTCCCAGCAGGTGGACACACACGCTATTGATTTGTAAATTGACATTTTGGCATGTTCATGTTTTTTTTATATGAAATAACGCATTTTCTGTAGTCAGTATGGCAAATTAAACCATTTGAACACTTACAGGATTCTTTTATCTGTCGCAAAACGAAATTGTTTAAGATTTGGTAAAAAAACATAACTTTGCATTAAATCTTATTCAATGTCACAGGAACCTTTGTTGTTCGGTACATGTGCAATAGGCTGGTAATTTTCTATCTATCCATCTATCTATCTATTAACTATGAATACATATACAAGTTATTTTGTCATAGCGTAGTATCATGGCGTGACCTTTCTTAGACATCAAATTAAGACGCATAGTCACAGTCATTGCCCACTCACATTATTGAGATGGAAATGAAATAATTTAAACTACCAAAGAGTAGCATTATGTGGCACATGTAGAGTACATATGAGACAACTTTGAACTTGCCAGAAATACTGTGCTTGACTGCAGTGGTGACACGAAAGATTGGACCGATGTATGTCTCTAGAAATATTGGAAGGACATGGTCCTCGTAGGATGATTCTTTACTTTAAGTAGGTGTGTGGCCAGTGACAGATATCGCGAATTTATCAATCAGATTCCTGGGTAGGTCAGAAACAGTGACCTGGGTACCATTTATAACTCTGTTGCCGAGGGTGCTCTTACCGACAGGGTGGTTCACGGGACAGCGTACATTACTATCTGTGGTGGAAAAAAATGATTGTCAGCATCTTTGATCTGCCATGATCTAATGATAGAATGTGAAATGTATATGGCGAACTAAAGAAACAAAATATAAGAAAATGTAGCCCTTCATGTCATATCATTTGATTACATTACACAAACAACATCTTAACAATGACATATTTTTGTTTGAATGCTGTTTTTCATTGAAGTACATTAATGATAAACTGGGTTAAAGTCAATGGTCTTTGGTACTTAACATTACCTAATAACTTGTTTTATACATTTTTATGAACCGACTTCGCACCACGTTTTACGAATCAATACTCATTGATATGCGACATACAATCTTCAGATCATGTCTATATTTTAACAATGACATATTTTTGTTTGAATGCTGTTTTTCATTGAAGTACATTAATGATAAACTGGGTTAAAGTCAATGGTCTTTGGTACTTAACATTACCTAATAACTTGTTTTATACATTTTTATGAACCGACTTCGCACCACGTTTTACGAATCAATACTCATTGATATGCGACATACAATCTTCAGATCATGTCTATATTTTAACAATGACATATTTTTGTTTGAATGCTGTTTTTCATTGAAGTACATTAATGATAAACTGGGTTACTGTATATACACATCGACTTCACTCATAAATTACTACTACCTCTGAAGCAGTTTCAAGGGTGAGGTAAATTAGGATGAGTGAAGATACCTGTTTTTAATTTAAGAATCACAAATTTACGCAAGATATCGTGCATTTCATGATCATGCATACAATTAATTAGCATTAATATGCTGTTTTAAAGTGTAATTTTTGTGAGCGATCAGGAGTATTTATGTAATTATTCTAAATCCCACCTGCCCTAACACGTGCATTCGGGAATAAATGTGTTTGCTATTAGTTACGTTTTTATCACATACAAAAGCCAATGTTACATGAACATAATGTTGTGATCGCATGTATTGGCTGTCAACAACTTTATAAACACACTGTAATAGACTGATATAGTTTGATACATTGCTTGTTTGTTTTATACTAGACTACTGGAGAAACGCGAACTCTAACATCTACCTGAACAACAACTCGTCAGCTATCTGCTCCACCCTCCCGAGTCCGTCCTCCACCCCCAACCCAACTGACGTAACCTGTAACGGTACCGGCAGATACCTCACCATCAGGAACCCGGGGACAGGACCTGCACACAGTGATGCACTCACCATTTGTGAGGTGGAGATCTATGGTAAAACGATGGTTACATTAAGAAGTACGTTTCTATTCTTGTGTCTAAAGGCCGTCGTGAAGCCAAGTGGTTAAAGCGTTCACTCGTCACGCTGAAGACCCGGGTTCGATTCCCGACATGGGTACAATGTGTGAAGCCTATTTTTGGTGTGCCCCAGCATGATATTTCTGGAATATTGCTAAAACCATTCTCACTCACTCACTCACTCTTGTGTCTAAATGCACTAATTTCAGATAATTTCAGCGAAATTGATCACATGGAAAATCAAACTGCGATGTAGTCCACACATGATCAAAATTGGCATTCCCTAACATAGAAACTTAATTTGATTCACCCTCACACTTATTTGGATTCTACATTGACAGTTGTTGATTCTTTATGGAACTTACAATCTGGTTCTCTGGTTCTGCAATGGTGAAAAACCATCATATGCGGATGTACTTAACCCTGTAGTGTGCCCTTTAGTATAAGATTTATCTATAAAAAAAAGCTAAAAATGGAGATTCATCATTAAAGAGAAAAATATTTTTTTGCAAATATCCCTCGTCCTATGAAGCACACTCTGTTGTCCATACGAAACGCCTCACAGTTGACATTGCATTAAAGGGCCGAGTTCAGCCAGTTGTGTTTGTTAGTGTTGAGTGAGAGAGTATGGTTTCAGACCGCTTTTAGCAATTTTCCAGAAATATCACGGAGAGGATACCAGAAATAGTCTTCACACATTGTACCCGTGTGGGGAATCTTAGGCATGTGTAATGCTATTTTGAAACTGTACTCGACTGAAACTGATCCTGTGATAACCCTGATGATTACATTCTGCTTTAATTCATTATAGTAAACACTAACTTTCATGATACACAGTTATCTTGTGCAGAAACTGATTCGAGGAAGAAAAACGGGAAAGGATATGTGGATGTATAAGGATGTACAGGAGGTGTGTAAAATATTGGCAATATCCCAGTAGCGGAACAAATCAGCCTTAATGGTTCAACCAAAAAGTTAACACTGATATGACGTTTAAGATGGAAACAAAAATACTCTGGAGTAAAAACATGAATTATTAAAGGTCGTGTGTCATTTCCTAACTCTTCCCACCTGTGTCCCTACCTCTCCCTACCGTCTCCATGGTGTAGTGGATAGAGCATCTGGCCAGGGAACGGTAGGCCGGTGTATCGATCTTCTGGCTGCATGATATCAAAAGACGCTAAGGCACTGCACTCGTTGTTACCCTGCCTGGGGCTGCCTCGGCATTAAGGAGATAAAGCAAGGACTGACTGGCTGTGAGTCAGTATAATGTTTCCAAGAGGAGTAGCCATGTTACACTGCAGCATGATATCTCAGTCGGCTACTATAAACAATACGGCATTCATGATTACCTGGACAAGTACAATCAGCCAAACACACAAGTACATAAAAGTGAAACAAATCTTGAAGGTGACAGCACATCCCATTTCACCTCCCCTCAGCGTCATCTCCCTCTCTCAATACAGTAAAATGCTTTATTCTTGTCTTGACAATGCAACAGTCTGCAGTCCAGGAATCTATGGGGTGAACTGTAATACGTCATGTCACTGCCTGGATTCCACTTGTGATCGCTTGACTGGATTCTGTCCTGGTGGCTGTAGACCTGGGTGGCAGGGACAGAGATGTGATACAGGTGAGAAGGACTTACTGTCAAGTTTGGTGTGACTAAGTCAGGGTACTTAACATTACCTAATAACTTGTTTTTTAACATTGTTATGAACCGACTTCCCACCACGTTTTACAAATCAACACTCATTGACATACAACATAAATTCTTAGCTCCTGTCTATATTTTACAGCTTGCAACAATACCAGTTATGGTACAAACTGCAATAAATCATGTGCTGAGCGGAAGTGTGCAGCTACAAATTCGTCATGTGACCATCACACTGGAGCATGTGACACAGGGTGTCTTCCTGGTTGGATAGATGAGGTCTGCACACAAGGTAAAGAATGTCAAGAGTTTATTGTGAATTAAGGACATTAATTACCAAGTCATGTCGGATGCAGAGAAAGAACACAGAGCACAATAAATCAGTTATAACATGGAAGGAAGCCCGCTAAACACCATGAAGAACATCTGAACATCTATGAAACGCCTGATGATCTCTTCATTGTTTTGTTTCAGAATGTGTCAAAGGAACATATGGAACAAACTGCATTAGCTTTTGCCCTGACAGACATTGTGCAGGAAACTCATCATGTAATCACGTGACAGGGTCATGCGATTTGGGGTGTGATTCTGGATGGATGGGTGCTGACTGTAAAGATGGTGAGTCATGAATAATAAGTATACGAGTGAGTGAATAAAAAAATAATTTGGTCTAAATACACTTTTCACTTTCTCTAGAATAGGCACATTAAAGATTATAGGAAATATAAGTAATATCATATCTCCACCATCTTATTCCAGAATGTGATTCCCAACATTATGGATCAAATTGTCTCGGCGTATGTTTCTCCAGACACTGTGTAGGGAACTCTTTGTGTAACTCAACAGGGGTCTGTGACAGTGGATGTGAGACTGGGTGGACACTGGCTGACTGTACAGGTAATTACATAATGTCACTGATGCCACTCATAGGGCAACTCGCCATTTTATATCTTTGAATCGTTTTCAATAAAATAGGTTGGGTAATTTATATTACAAAATACGTTTTCATGTCTCACACGTTCTTTGAAATATAAACGATATAAATGACATGACATAAATAGACGGAATTCTTGGCAACTACCTCTTAATATACTTGATATATACAGAATATGCGTTTGCGCAGCAGGTCTCGAAACTAGGTTTTAAAGGGCAGTAATTATGTACACTATAATGACTGGTTTTTGACGCTCAAAGTCAAAGCAAAATTGAATGATTTTTTGAGGAAATGAGCTGAATATAAGGATTGATTAAATGAGGGATGGAGAGATGACGAGAAAAAAAATAATTTTGATTCCAAAAATGGACAATGTATAAAGAAAGAAAACGGACTCTGCATGACGCATGGTTTGTTCAATGAAGAAGTCAGGCAAAAGATATGTTTGATATATGTATTTAAAGGAATGTAACGAGTACCAAATTAAATTGTCGCAAATAACAAAAGGAACTACTCAACGAAACCTACAATTATTCAATATATACACAATTGCGAATACAATCTAGCAAACGAACATGCATGTGGCAAAGCCAAAGAGATGTCTCTCACAAATAACCGACATGTCCGAATAGATCATAAGTATGAGACGGACCAGTCTCAGCTTTCAAAAACAAAAGTCTCCAACTCTCACCCGTGGTTTTTATTCAGGGTGTTTTCTCCTATTTTAATAATGAACTGTAAGTCATCCGCCAGCAGCCATGCCATGAGAGGCGAGCTTCTATTTCTCAAATGCTTTCAATCAGGCTTTTACTTCTCTTCGACAAACTAGACTGACGCGTACACACTTCCGCTTCTGAACAAGAATTGAAGGTTGGAAGGGTGTGTTTGGTCATGCGATGACCATAAAGGCATATATAAAACTATATCCTTGTAAATGTAGCTATGTGTCACTGGATCGGGAGGGAGGTGTTACTTAGAAGTGAGGATACTAGTGACCGTGCGTGTGAGATTACCAAAACACAACAGATAATGTTTTTCTCACACTTCTGAGAAAATATGACCGAATTCACAAAATGGAGAGGGGCAAAAAAACCTTAGTGTTCGCTGATGACACCTCAGAAAGGCGCAAAATACTTTCCAAAATCAGTTTGAAGAGCACCAGTATCCATCAAAACTGCAATGTGTTTAACATTGGAACTGTACTCCTCTCTCACAATAAAAGATATTAGCCGAACCACAAAAAGGCTGTAAAGTGACATCCACAAAAGAATTTGGGGAAGAATTACTGTTTCTTGAAAGCGAGCTTTCTCCTCTTAGAAAACATATTCCCTGGCTTGCGGCAATATCTACAAGTAGGAGGTTCTGACGAAGTCTGCAGTAGAACTTGACTTTTTGTCAACAAATTCAGAACCAGACTGCCTGTAAGTTTCCAATTAATAAGACTTCAAAACTGCAGCCAAAACAGCAACCTGATAATCAGAACTCGTATCAATAGGTAATGCAGAATATGCTTTCTGAGATTTCCCCATAAAAAACTTTGCAACAGCATGGTCCACTGATTTTGAGGTCAAACTGTTAGCCACCTTTTCAAAATGTTGGAAATACTTTTCAACATCACGTTCAGAGAACAAACCTAACCTGCTTTGAAAGATTAAATGATCAATCACCTGTTCAAGTACGGTAAGAGAGATCATTCTGTCATTCTTTTAGTTCTTTGAGCCTAATATCTTTATCAACTTCCATTGGCTTAATCCAAAGTTCTTGCTCTTCTTTCTCAGCTTCAAATCTCAATTATTCCTTTTCCTTCTCTGCCTTAATTCATTTAAGCCGAATTTATATTGCCTATTTTGCTCTTTCAAATTCTGATTTCTTCAAATCAAAAACATCAGTTTTATCTTCAAGCAAGGTTAAAGCATCATCATCCATTACCTCTTTGTCAACCAGGTGTGTAATTAAAACAATCTTGAAATCTGCCTTAAGCATACCTGATGTCGGACTTCTTTCGTTGAAGGGTGAGGAACAAATTCCTCTACACTAAACACCATAGTAATTGTTGGCTTCACACAATATTAGACAATAAAATGTTTACAAGCCCCAAATCTCTGTTATTTGTCGATTCCCAAATTGAAACAATATGTTAACCCAGAAATCTGTATGTAAAATAATTGGTATGAAATCAACAAACAACCAACATTTGTTGAACTATCAATAATTGTATTACAAAATTCACTTGTTTGGTTAGAGTGGCAGTACAATATTTAGCTACATTATATTATATGACGACAGTGGTCAGTATCAAATACACAAATACAGTGTAGAAAGAAAAGTCAGTGAAAAAAGTATATTCACCCAGCGTCGAAAGTCAAACTTCCGAGATAGGCCTTGACAGGAAATTCGGGGTGATGAGTGTTCTTCACAGGAAAGCTGGTTTTAGATGTAATGAAATGTGTGAAAGAAGAGGTACGCTCTTGTCCCCTTACATACAGTCTAACTAGCTACTGGAATTTCAAGACGGTGCCATCACAACATGGCACTATTCTTAGACTATTCTACGCTGTCTTATATAAATCGGGGTTAGAAAAGCACTGGTTGTATAACGAGAGGCTGTCGCTGTCTAAACTAGAATAACCACTAAACGGAATAGCAAGAGAGTAGCCTTTTAGCGATTGTCACGATCATTGCAAAATAATAGATAAAAAATCCATGAATTTAAAATTGTACAAGGAAACATATATAGGAAACACATCGTAGGAATAAATTCCTATTATATTACGTTCACGACATTAGTTCTGGAGTTTTCAAAGTAAAATTTAATATATATGTTTCTGTGATTTCATGTAATGGTGATTCTAAATATAAAATATTGGTTGATATTGTTTGACAAACAGTTGTACACACCGTCCATTGTGATAATTCTACTTAAGGATGTTTGTTTAGTCAATTGGCATGCGTTCATTGTAAACAAGGATCATTAGTGTGAAAGGATTACTAAGTTTGTCATCCAGTAAAATGCACTTCCACGATTAGCATAATTAGAACAGAGTTTGTAATTGGGTACATCCGGACTCCAGTTAATCAAGGCAGCTACATCAGTTGAGAGTGTGAACAACTGGAGAAGAGGCGAGCAACTCAATGTGATTAATGAATTGGTGGAATTTTAATAAATAAACGAACGCCTGTCGCAAAAATGCATTCGAACATTGAACACGCACAATCGCAGATTTCTATGGTACATTTGAGGGTGAACGTGAACGAAGCCGTGCAGGATGCCTAACAGCGAGCTCAGGTGAGTTTATTAATGATGATATTTTTATTCATTCATAGATATGGCGATCATGAGCGCTGACGCTATATGTGTTCGCAATAGAACATTTGGAAGACTAGACACATATTGATTCACTATATGACTACATCAAATCCAGTATTTGTGTAATGCAACAGGTTTAAAGCATTCAAAATTGTGCATTATTATAAAATACAATGCGTGTCGCTTCGTCTCCCATGTAAAATACATTAATTATTTGTTTTAAATATAATTTAATATTACTATGAGTTTTACATTATAACTAAAATTATGGAGTCTTGCATGTCGAGCCAACAAACTATTGTACATATTATTCACATTGGAATTTCTGTTTACTGTGTTTGCGGTGGGGTCCAGACAATTCCCCAAAGGGACAATTCCAAATACTACTGCGTAAAATATTAATGCTGATTTGGAGAAAATTACCAAATGGATGAAAGTAAGTACAATTGAATCCAGAGAAAACAGAAGCTTTCTATTTTACGTTAAATTAAAGTCTTCCCAAGTGCAAAACCTAATCTTAAAATGAAAGGAATTTATATTTATGACTTTGGGAATAATATTTCAGTCAGATTCTGATATTGACGAGTTTAAAAGGAAATCCCTATGATTAATTGCCTTAGAAGTCTTAGATACCTTTCTGGTGTCCACCGCCGTAAACCATACTCACTCACTCAGTTAAATAACTCCTTTCACATAAATCGTTAGAAGTTATGAACAAGCATATAATGCCCATATTTGGGATAATTGTACCAAGAGCAAGAATTAATCCTAGAATGTTTACACTAAGATTCATTCCGGACGCTGAAATATTGCCGATGAGACGTTAAATTTTAACTCACTCACTCAATACGGACTATACGAACTATTTGTGGGGCGATAAGGGGTACAGGCCACGAGAAAATATATAGAGAAACTAACACAGCCATTACACCTTTTTACAAGATGGAAAACATCTTTGCTGTTAGTAATTACATTTATAGAAATCAAACCAATATACAGGCTATATGTTGTAGAACAGAATGCTTTGCCAAGTTATTCCTACCTGATATCATTAATAATTGGAATAGTCATCTGATATAGAGGATTGTTCAACTTGGACAGTGTGACTTATATACAGTTAAGCCATGATACCAGATTTTGTCACATAATCCTTTATCGCCTCGGACTCGGTTGTAGTGATTTAAACTTCCATCGGCTTAAAAGACAATATATTAACAAACAATTCGCCTTTCTATTCTTAAGTCTAAGTGAGTTTATATTCAGTGGTTTAATTTGTCAATTGAAATCGGTCCATGTACATCCTACGTTCGGGTGAATTTGCACTAATGTTATAACTTAAGAATTAATTCATATTTTAAGACACGTATTAAGTATTATACAGTTAAATAGCTTTTCTTAGTAATTGAACACCTTCCATCGACCGCACCAAACTGTTGACCAATCGTTTTTCATGTATTCTACGTCAAATAAGATCAGAACACGTGTATAATTACAACATCCCCAGGATACCAATAACAACGAAATGTACAAATTAACAAACATGACCAACATTATTATTTCATGATAATGTAGGTGCCATGCATGTAATTATAGCTATATAAACATATGTTTAATTATTCAGTTTGTGTGAAGTCGGTCATAAATACAAGAAACAGTTGATTCTGAAATTCTTTAATCATGTACTTTTAAGTATATTTTCCCAATATTATGTTATCCCCCAAAAGGCAATTATATTCATGTTATATTTATCAGGCAATTTTTTAATACGAATTACGTAACATTTATGCTACTTTGATTTTATAAGACCAATGTTGATGTTACAGATTCAGGGACCGATATTTAGGTTCATTGCATGTCATAAAAGTGCCGGGACATAATGTGGTGGCAATACATTCTCTAATTAACACCTGTCACAAAGGGACGGGCCATTTGGGTTTGTCCTCAGGGAATGTGTTATGCAATTTGTGTATTCACGAAATAACATTCAACAAGTCGGGTGATTTAGGATTGATGCATTTGTACTTCATATAAATAAATGAATTACATTATTTTCTTAATCGTGTGCGAAATACGCATAATGTCGGAAAGCGCAAGTTAAATCCCCAAATACTGACTTCGTTCCTAAATAAATCACAACCCTCACTTATAATTGTATCACTTTAAATTTTAATGATGTAAATCACGTATCTGTCACTTTTTAATGTGGAATACGTCAGTCACTCAACCAGTTCCACTATTATTTTCCCAAAAGATCAAAGATGAAAAACAGTTATCAAGATTTAATTTCCATATCGTTAGATATATTTAATCTTAACATTGAAACATCTTCATGTATATTCTGTATTGAATGACATTAGATATATGTATATGCTCCTATACCGCCGCTGGTGTCTAAATTTGCGAGAATTAAACATTTAGTTTGCATCCAACCATGCGCGTCCCAAATTATACAGCGTCAAGCTTTCAGAACTCCAAATAAGTTTTCCAAAGTAGAAATTAAGCAAAATGAATATTTATCAAGTTTCCTTTTGCTAGAACATATGCATGCTGTTATGGTTTTTAAAAAAAAAAATCTTCGTTCTCTCTGTTGTTAACAATATTAAAACAACAAGTACTATAAAATATAATACGGAAATATATTACATATCATTTACGCATCCGGCTGCTCACAAAACAATGCTATTAAACATTATTTGTGTCCCAGGGACTGAATACCAATTAGACCAAGCCAGCTCTACAGATACTGACTCTCTCAAAGACAGCAAGCTACATTATACACTTAATTGAAAACTGTAATCTCAAACATATCAAATGCTACTTCAACACTTTATCATATACTTAGCAGTTGTATAGTCTGTAAAATTGAAATTAATCCTCTATTAGTTTACAGTGATGATTCTTGCAGGCTATATAATGCAGGCACGGCCCGTTATGTATCATTCAATCTTGATCTTTCTCACTTCCCTATAAAGGCATAATGATCGATAATTTCTTCTGTTGCAGTGTGAAATGATAATTTATTGTGAGTAAGGCTAATCCCTTTCTCCAGACATAAATTGATCACTCACCAACAACTGACAAGGGATTACTCCTCGTTAAGGCAATACTAAGTGATACAATATACTGCAGATTAATTAACTAATTAAGGGTTAAATGAGATTGTTTACTCAGAGTGTGATGTAATCCGTTTGATGTCGAATTACAAAGAGTGAATCTTCAAAAAGGGTAAGCATACCCAACACTACCAGTAGCACCTGGCATTCCCAAATAGTGTTGTTCTAATACATCAAGCTATAATACTGACACGTTGCTTAAGGGTTATCGGAATAAATTTGAATTTGATTTTCACATATTCTCCTCCATTGCTCATGAGCATATACATGGATATACATACATATGCATTATAAATTTGAAATGCAATTGTAAATAAAGTTGTTGTTTTTCTTCAGAAGAGTCGTAACCGAGTCTTCGGGATACGCCATCGCAACCTTCCCGTCCAGAAGAAACAGAGGTACGAGGACGCATTAAAGATAGCTCAGTTGATGCCCTCCGAGGAAAGTAACTATGACGAAGACGGCATAAAGATTTTTTACAGTACGACCAAAGAACTGCGAGTCGACGGAACTGCAGATGGCGAAGAGGCTCGCAGATGAGACATACATTAAGAAGCTGGACAGTACAGCAGCTTTCCCTAAGGCAAGACGTGTCCGTTGACCACCATCCAAAAACACATTCCCTGACATGAAAAAGGATATGTCATGGGTCAATACCGAGTATGGAATCCCGTGGTGTTGTGTGGTGTGGTGTGGTGTGGTGTGGTGTGGTGTGGTGTGTGTAACGTAATATATGTGGGTGGGTCAGTGACTGATTTTGCGGATGTGTGTGTTCGTTGTACTTCTATGGGGGGGGGGGGGGGGTGATGCGTATTTTGTCTCAAAAGCCAAAATGGTTGGTTGTTTAAATAGTGACTCTTTAATAAACTATTCTTCTTCTTCTTCTTTTTGTTCATTGTCAAGATGCTGTGTATTACTTCCCAGACTGCTGACATGTGTGATCATTTTTTATCTTCAAATATCACGATGTGCCCACTGATACCGATATGTTGATTGCCTGATTGTTTAGAACTATCAGTTGCGATATGTTATATGATTGCTTTGTATAACATAGGCATGCTGTTCACTTTCATTGGGACTGGATGCTTTGCACAACAGCGATAGTATCTCACTGTTAATTATCTTTTTATCAATTGCATTTACATAAGTAAAGAACATATCAATTTAATCTGAATACGTCAATGTGTCAATTTCTTGTTCTAAAAAGTACAGGTATAAGTATTCATATGTATTTGTAAGAATTTTGTGTGATTCTGGATGGATGGGTGCTGACTGTAAAGATGGTGAGTCATTGAAATGAATAATAAGTATACGAGTGAGTGAATAAAAAAATAATTTGGTCTAAATACACTTTTCACTTTCTCTAGAATAGGCACATTAAAGATTATAGGAAATATAAGTAATATCATATCTCCACCATCTTATTCCAGAATGTGATTCCCAACATTATGGATCAAATTGTCTCGGCGTATGTTTCTCCAGACACTGTGTAGGGAACTCTTTGTGTAACTCAACAGGGGTCTGTGACAGTGGATGTGAGACTGGGTGGACACTGGCTGACTGTACAGGTAATTACATAATGTCACTGATGCCACTCATAGGGCAACTCGCCATTTTATATCTTTGAATCGTTTTCAATAAAATAGGTTGGGTAATTTATATTACAAAATACGTTTTCATGTCTCACACGTTCTTTGAAATATAAACGATATAAATGACATGACATAAATAGACGGAATTCTTGGCAACTACCTCTTAATATACTTGATATATACAGAATATGCGTTTGCGCAGCAGGTCTCGAAACTAGGTTTTAAAGGGCAGTAATTATGTACACTATAATGACTGGTTTTTGACGCTCAAAGTCAAAGCAAAATTGAATGATTTTTTGAGGAAATGAGCTGAATATAAGGATTGATTAAATGAGGGATGGAGAGATGACGAGAAAAAAAATAATTTTGATTCCAAAAATGGACAATGTATAAAGAAAGAAAACGGACTCTGCATGACGCATGGTTTGTTCAATGAAGAAGTCAGGCAAAAGATATGTTTGATATATGTATTTAAAGGAATGTAACGAGTACCAAATTAAATTGTCGCAAATAACAAAAGGAACTACTCAACGAAACCTACAATTATTCAATATATACACAATTGCGAATACAATCTAGCAAACGAACATGCATGTGGCAAAGCCAAAGAGATGTCTCTCACAATTAACCGACATGTCCGAATAGATCATAAGTATGAGACGGACCAGTCTCAGCTTTCAAAAACAAAAGTCTCCAACTCTCACCCGTGGTTTTTATTCAGGGTGTTTTCTCCTATTTTAATAATGAACTGTAAGTCATCCGCCAGCAGCCATGCCATGAGAGGCGAGCTTCTATTTCTCAAATGCTTTCAATCAGGCTTTTACTTCTCTTCGACAAACTGGACTGACGCGTACACACTTCCGCTTCTGAACAAGAATTGAAGGTTGGAAGGGTGTGTTTGGTCATGCGATGACCATAAAGGCATATATAAAACTATATCCTTGTAAATGTAGCTATGTGTCACTGGATCGGGAGGGAGGTGTTACTTAGAAGTGAGGATACTAGTGACCGTGCGTGTGAGATTACCAAAACACAACAGATAATGTTTTTCTCACACTTCTGAGAAAATATGACCGAATTCACAAAATGGAGAGGGGCAAAAAAACCTTAGTGTTCGCTAATGACACCTCAGAAAGGCGCAAAATACTTTCCAAAATCAGTTTGAAGAGCACCAGTATCAATCAAAACTGCAATGTGTTTAACATTGGAACTGTACTCCTCTCTCACAATAAAAGATATTAGCCGAACCACAAAAAGGCTGTAAAGTGACATCCACAAAAGAATTTGGGGAAGAATTACTGTTTCTTGAAAGCGAGCTTTCTTCTCTTAGAAAACATATTCCCTGGCTTGCGGCAATATCTACAAGTAGGAGGTTCTGACGAAGTCTGCAGTAGAACTTGACTTTTTGTCAACAAATTCAGAACCAGACTGCCTGTAAGTTTCCAATTAAAAAGACTTCAAAACTGCAGCCAAAAAAACAACCTGATAATCAGAACTCGTATCAATAGGTAATGCAGAATATGCTTTCTGAGATTTCCCCATAAAAAACTTTGCAACAGCATGGTCCACTGATTTTGAGGTCAAACTGTTAGCCACCTTTTCAAAATGTTGGAAATACTTTTCAACATCACGTTCAGAGAACGTTTGTATTTGTAAGAATTTTTAAAAATGTTCTTGCGCCTGTTGTACATTACATTTATGGTCGTAGTTTGTTGACTTTGCTAACAATATTAGACTGAGCCCCAAGAAATGTTTTGAACATTTGATTGCATTTTAAGAAATTTTGTGCCGTTTGGACAATATTCATACCAACAAATGTAACAGTGGCAAAAATAAAGAAAACAAAGATGGCGGATGTAAAATTTCGGAGTTAAATCATTACTTTTAAAAAATCGGGAATAGTTTCTGCGCACCCGGCTACCTGGGTTCCAGCCATTAATCCTTAAGTCCACTTTTGCCTACAGTTACTATTGCCTACAAATAAATAAAACAGTGTGGAATAATGCCTACACAATGAAAACAACATACCCATGCTAGGAATGAACTCTTTGAAATTTCTTTGAAATCATCAAATATCTGCTGGTGTATATACTATAAGAACTAATGCAATGATGCAGAAATGATGCACTGAGTGATATACATATATGAATGACATTGGCTACACATTAACCAAAATGCATAACACAAACACAACAATTCAGAAAAATAACACTACATGAAAACCACGTGTTCAGCGTTGTCAGTTGGCAACTGCCCAACTGTTACGGTGAGTTGCCATTGAACGATTTGGCGGTGGCAGCGTACGCGTACACACTAGTAAAGAAATCTTGTCCAAGTGCAAGCCAACTTAACGGCTCAGTGCCATTGTGATGAAATACTACAGGCCCACCTTATTCCAGAATTGAAACATGTTGACTCATCTGTTAACATGCAAGTGCTTATCTACATGGATCCATACTCTCATTTCTTTCATGGTGATAAGGCAGTACTCGCCCTAATGGTGGACACACTGAACTCGTACTGTTGTTTGGTTTGCAATTTGCCATCACTCATCAGACACACATATAGAAGTGTGTTGCGCCCAACCACAAAAGACATGCTTATTCGTTCCTATTAAATCCAAAACATTTACAGACACTTCATATATTGCCAGACATAAGCATTTTTTTAGTATGCCTTTAGGTTTGTTTAAGTACTAGTGACACTAATAATGATGAAGTCTTCAGTTATACTGCTGAACTTATGTAGATGTTTTTAAGTTTTGTAAAAATGCCAGTATTTGTTGTAAATCACTGTATAACACTGCTGGTTCTATTAAACAGCAACAAAAGACATGACATGATATGTCCTAACTGAAACATGTCTCAATTTACTTCTCTGTCATACCTTTTCATCACTTAATACCTGAACTGAAAATCTTCAGAATGCAAACCTGGAACCTTTGGGCCTGACTGTTCTCGTTGTGGACACTGTGACGTCACGTGTAATGATGGAGATGGACGCTGTCCAGGAGAATGTCTGGATGGCTTTATCGGTGACCGATGTGATATAGATGTCAGAGGTTCGAATCCAATTTAGGTCTTTTTCCTCTACAATCAGGTTTTAGATCCGCATTAACGTTGCTATGTATTATGCATTAAGTATATGATCAAACAAACGTTTTATTCACTGTGATTTTAGATACGTTGGCATATACGTTTATATCTATTCACAGTACATGTTAAGCACCAGACTAATGTGACTTTGTATCTTATCCAGTGTCTCCTGTTACAAGTGGTGTCATTGGCGGAGCCTTAGTCATGGCTGTAATGCTGTGTCTGAATACTGGGTTGATGATCTTTCTGTGGAAATCTGGAAGGTAACTTTTCATAACATTTTGTATTATTAAATAACAGAGTACTGGTTTTGAAGTCTTTCCTTGTGGGATGAGCACGAGCATCTATTATATTTCTACAATACTTCTACTGTTCAGACTGAAACGGACACCCCTAACTGGCACACCACCCACAGAGGTGAGAGAGACAAACACAGGCGACACTGGAGAGATTCCTGCTCCTGCGCTCTCTCCTGGCATGAATGGGGACGACTATACTGAGTTGAATGAGGTCACCAGGGAGAGAGAGCAGTCACTTTATGATGTCATTCAGAACAATGTATATGAAAATAATTAAATCTGAGTAAAGTCTTCTATGTGTGCTGTGACGTACGCATCATGTTCACAAAGCATCATGTTCTGTCTAGAAGTACACATCAAGGTATATATATTAGGTGATAACATGGAATATTGTGATCCCGTCTCATATATGATCTAACTACCTTGGTTTTAGTTTTACCCCCCTTTTTGGTAGTTTGTACATATTATATGTAGCGTTGTGGAGCCCTTGAGGTTAGCACAATATACATATGACGATCATTGTGATTTATATGCGTTATGTCACTACTAAACAAGAATTAAATCATTTTCCATATTTCATATTTTATGCAATTAAGCTACACATGTTTCGTATTTAAATTAGGTTAGTCAAATATATGACATTTCCATACTTATGTTACTGAAAGTGCAAATCAACAACTCTTACTGTGAATATGGTGAATAGTGCAGTAGTGGGCAATATCGGCTACCAGTACTTAAGGTTACACAGTCAAAACGCTGACATGAAGTAAACAGCTCTCAGATCAGTAAGTAAGATGTACGTTTTTGTATCTTCTGTTGCACCACAGATTCAATAAGACACTAAGGACACACAATTCCGATACAATGTTAGCCAGGCTAACAATTTTATGTCTAACAGGTTTTTTTTAAGGAATAACTATGATGGTGTTACATGCTGAGTTCTTAAGTTCAGATGTGCAGGGTGTCTTTTGTGTGGCAGTATATGCATTACACAGGGCAATAATGTTTGTTTTGGTATCACGCCTCAATATTCAAGCTCTATGACGGGGGTATGTGAATAAAGTGGCTGATATTATGAGCATCTATATCAGCGATTGGGATATGATGACATGTATCAACCAAATCTGTGAGTCTGACCACCCGATCCCGTTAGACGCCTCGTAGGATAAGCACGAGTTGCTGAAGCCCAATTCTTCATGACGAATAACTTATCAAAGCAGTATAAGAATCACGTTGAATACAAAAAGATTTATCTAAAAATCGACTTCACTCATGTTCTTGTGTCAATGTTTTATCACCATCTTACCAATACTTTCTTTCACTGTATTAAGTTGTACCACCGAAGTTGTATCAACTGCAGGTTGTGAATAAATATGTTTAGTTAACAAAAGAACTTCAGAGGAACCATTAGCAATTGAATGAAATAATGAAACTTGATGTTATAACTTTTGTTTTTCGCACGTCTGAGTCTCTCGACTCAGTGGCTTGTTTTGTCCTTAAAATATTTGAATGTTTACAGACAGTCAATGTTTCATTTTTCTAGGTTTTGTGAGGACAAATATACTTTCTACATTTATAGTTTCTCATTCACTGTTTATATGCAAGCTATTGAATAAGATGCAGGGACACTCAGATACATCATGATTATGGTAGACACCATTCATAAAGAGAACGGTAAGGACGTTAGGTAAACATGTATTCAAGCAAGTGGTGGTATAAACAAAGGAGAGGCGAGAAGGAAGCAGAAAGTATTAAATTGATGTCACGAAAATTGCAGTCTTTACAATAGTTCACATACGCGACTTTAAAGGAACGTGCACACTCTCTGTTATATTTCTAAAGTGGTAAAAACAGTAGCATTGTGTAATCGTTCATGTTCCGCGCCTGTCAAATGCCCTAATAGAAGATATGGACCAGAATGTACACGGTCCTGCAGTTCCCACAACTGTAAATAATTTATAAAACGTCATCGGCAGATATGGAGAATAACCATGCTCGATTATCCGAAGAAACAAATTCCACTGGGCTAAATAGTGGTGATATTAATATGAATGGACAACTAAAAATATGTGACGACACCAGTTTTTCACGAAAAGGACAAGCATCTTCTGCCCTACCCGTAGCACCCGCCACTCACACAATTTGAGGAAAAGAGTATGACACCATACAGCAGTACCAGAAACATCATCATCTCAGTGTGGCGTCACTGGGTCCCGAGCAGCTGTATGCTGACTGCTGACTGCAGACATGTCTTGCCCAGATGGTGGTCACATCTGAAAAGGAAGTGTCAGTATTAACAGTGCCCTATAGTAAAAAGGCACAAGTCGCCCTTTGCACAATGAGAGAAAAGGGGTAACGTGAAGAGTTACCTCCCCTAGACTAGTGTACAGGCTTTGACAAAGTTGTAACTCAATTGTAATTTCTTTGAGAACAATAATAAGTATTGTTTACGGAAGCATTGAGAAGACTATTCCAATGAATGAGGAGTAATCAATGTTTTACATGTTTTGATATAATCAAATTATCATGTCCATACGCTCATTATATATGTCCTGTTAAGGATAACGCTGAACTTGTTTATTTGTTTTTCGGGTGTGTTGTTTGGTACATAGAGTTGGACATACTGGCTGATTAGGTTTTGATTTACGTTCATGCGAATTACCATCCAACCGCCATTCGTAAAGTAGTTTTGGTCCTCTAGATGTGTGTTCTACACCCCCGGTATTGGTAGGACAAGTTTACGTTTGTAACAGGTGGCACCCACTTTTTATACTAGAATTGACGTGAGGAAAGGTGACATAGAGTGTAACGTCGCGTTTCAGATTAGTGCAATGATAACAGCGACCTGTATGCATATGTATATGTGTGTTGTGTGTAGATGTGTGTGTGTGTGTGCGTGTGTGGCTAGTTCTAGTACACACAGCATACTAACACTGATCTTTCGCTTCCGCTAAACAAAGATCTGAGGACATGCCATTAGGGGTCACGTCAGAACGACCTTTCATCTGACCAATCAGAGCGTCGCTTTCCAGATCCTGAATGTGACAGTCGGAATGTGATTTTTAATCATGCAACCTCAAACTTTACCAACGATATTTGGTATTCTAACGATAGTTACAGGCTTAACGACTGAATCCATACAGTCTAGACCATATATTAGCCATTCCAGAATGTTTTTTTGTTCAGGTCTGAAATTTTTACCCGAGAATTTGTCAAAATATGTTTCGAAACGTAGTCGCCAATTTAAAATTAGTGCCGTAAAGCACGTGAAATCTGCCTTCTGATTGGCTAATATCGACTTCTTGTCAGTCATTCCATTGGTTGGTCAAAGCTCGCGCAAGGTCGGTCTGAGGTGACTCGTAATTGGGTGTCCTCAGATCTTTGTTTAGCGGTATAGAAAACTAAGATCAGATTTTAATGGGATTGAGATTCATCGAACTGTTTGTTCTGAATTGGACAGTGTATTTTAGAAACGGATGTTCTTAAACCGGATTTGCTGGAGCCATTGAAATTTCTTTCCTAAAGCCACTGTATCTGTGTGACTATTTTCCCAAACCGGAAATTGTACGATGTAACCGGTAGTGGGTATAACTCTCTTATTAAACCAACTGTAAACATATGATTTTCTTGTTTAGTACTAAACAGGCATGTAATTCCTGTACCAAATAGATTTCATTACATTCGACATTATGTCATAAAAGTGGAATGTATACCTCACGAGTCAAAGCCCACGAACCAACGACCTAATCTCGATGCGCATGCAGCTCGAGTGGCACTCTTGTATAAAGTGTATTTGCAGGTGTACACTCTTATGGTTCAGAAGTACCAAAAACCCAAATGTCAACAACCCATTGGACATGGGAGACATTAGCTATATTCTGGTCACACAGCATTTAGTACACTGCTTATTAGGGGGGGGGGGGTAGCCTTGTGGTCAAAGCGTTCGCTCGTCACGTCGAAGACCCAGGTTCGATTCCCGACATGGGTACAATGTGTGAAGCCCATTTCTGGTGTCCCCCGCCTTGATATTGCTGGAATATTGCTAAAAGCGGCGTAAAACCAAACACACTCACTCACTCACATTGTAACAAAAGGTCTATGGTATATTCTACTCACCACGACACACTGAATCTACACAGAGATATTTGCCAATGCGTGGTCTACATGTACATGTGACAGGAGCTGTCTGACGATAAAACATTGCATGATCTATATGATTTACTCTGTACACGATGAATTGCAGTGTACACATGACATTATATTGATACATGTATATTACCCAACATGAAACAAACTTCTGCAACTCCTGTCACTAAATGTACCCAACCCCTCTATCCTCTAACTGCAATGTTAGATTGATCTCACTGCAACAGTAACTTGTGGGTCATCAGACACATGTTGCTTCGTGGATATATTCCACTCTTCTACAACACATAATGAATAATGGTAATACAACTGCGGTTTCATTTCAGAAAATAACGCTTTTTGAGGTAAATAAATAAAGTGCAGTCTGTATCACAAATCAACGGCCACTTTGAATGAAAGCACACACTGAAGGTCTGAGGGTTTTTATGTGGATTAAACATCACATCATCAATTAAACGGAGGGGGTAGTCTCGATGGATATAAATCCTTTAAAATCCTGACGTATCGACTATTGGGAAGTCTGGAATGGGGCCTGGTCAATTTCATCAGAGAGCTACTTGACACATTTCAGTAAACGACTAACACATACCTGAAGCGTTTCTTCAAAAACCTCTCCTCACAATTTGAGAATCTGTAACGATGTGTAATACATTTTTTGTTTCCCACAGAAGGTGTCTCTTTCAATATCAAAATAACAATTAATATGCAATAGTAATTATCTATAAGATAATTCACACTTGAAAATAGACCTATTGCATGTTCAGATAAAACAATTACAACACTTGCAATTATATCCTTACTCAGCATTCATTTAACGCTCACTCAACATACCTGTGAATTATAACAATTCGGATGTTTGATGACAGATTGTTCGACATGGTGTGTGCTGGGTCAGTAACCCATGTAGCTTTTTTTGGAGGACAGACATGTAATCTGCCTCTACAACAATTGCAGGCATTGCGCGTGCCAGAGCACAGGATGTAGCTGACAGACAACACTAAGTTTGTACAACTACAACTTCAGACTGTGAAATAACTGGCTAGAAAGGTATGTTGTTAGTGACATAAATCATGAGTAATATAGAACAGACTACAGTCAAATTCAGCCTGCGACATAATGTAGTGCCAGAAGTTGATGACATTAAACAAGCCAGCTCCTCACAGCGAAGCTCCTTGTGACGAAGGTTTTCAAGCGCTGGGACTGTAAACATAAAGGGAGGTCACTCCATTACAAAGTTTCCATTCGCTTCTAAAAGAAAAACAACAACAACTAGCCACAACACCAATGCTCCCAACTGGTCTCCATGGGTATGTCTATTTCGTGCATATATATCCTGACAATGATGTCATCTTACCCGTGAAGATCCGGGGTAGAATAGATCGTTAGCAACCTGACTTGGTAGATACGTGTCATCGTATCCCAATTGCGTAGATGGATGCTAACGATGTCAATCACTGGATTGCCTGGTCAAAACTTGATCATTTACAGGTCGCTGTCATCAAAATGGAATATTGCTGAGTGCGGCATTAAACAACAAATAAACAAACAAACAAACAAACACAGTGGTATTATCACTGAGGACATGGCACAAGATTGCATGTTGGTTATTGACATTTAAATGCATTAAAATATCTGAAATCCACTTTAAGTAGCTGCAATGTAAAAGACATTTATTTACATAATATGGTATTAACAGTAAAGACAATATAAACTTTAACGACAAACGTAGTTTCAAATAAACAGAGTTCCATGTTTATATTTCCTGTATTTTAAATGTATATAAAGTTATCCAGAATGTGGGTTGATAATGTCTATATTCTGAGGACCTCTTTTCGTCGTTAGGCTAACCACACTTCATTGAATATGAAGTGATGAATAATGCCATACAATTTTCTGATTGGATACAGTTGTCACATCTTCTGTCGAAAATGTCATTCTGGCTACTAAATGACAATAAACATCATGAAGTTTGCTGCTTTATAGTTTATACCGAGAGAGCTAATGATGTACACTTCACTTGCATCCGGGGATATTTTAACGTCAGTTCCATTCAGTTATTGATGCTCACTCGCAAATTATTTACGGCAGTGCCCATATATATATTTGTAATATAAATTGTAATATGTAAGTCTTACACAATTATTCGAGTTTCAAAAGCATCAGACGCAAATCAGGCACGCATGCAAGTTACAATTCAAGTTGAATCTGAGTGTTCACACACAATTAATACAATAACACAAACCATGGATTCAGTGTAGGTGAAATAGAATGGTTGTTTTTAGGATTTAGGTCAGTGCCAAATAATTGGATGTTTTTTGGAAATACCATTGTGTGAGTGAAATACAACACAATAGAAGTTTCGGCAAACCGCTGCTTAATACTCAACGCGGTTATGAGAACGTAATGGGAGTCAGACATGATGTATGAGACATTATCGGGATGTGCATGAAGAACAGGAATAGGAAAAATATGGCTGTTAAAATGACTCTCCTGCTGGTATATACTTGTCTCCGTTAGTACGGCTAAAGTTGGTTGGTTGGTTGGTTGGTTGGTTGGTTGGTTGTTTAACGCAGTATTCCAGCTATATTGTATATGACGGCGGTCAGTAAATAATCGAGTCTTACCCGAAAATCCAGTGATTGATATCATGAGCATCGATCCACGCATTTGGGATCGATGACATGCATCAACCAAGTCAGCGAGCCTGACCACCCGATCCTGTTAGTCGCCGTTTACGGTAAGCATGGGTAATAAGTTATAAGATACCATATGTATCATAATGTAAGTCTGACGTATCTAAAACTGAACTGTAGTATTGTCTCAATACACAGACATCTTGAATATTGAAAGTACTGCAAAGTCCTTTACAAGAGTAATCAATCTGAATGGGAGAAAAGCAATATGCAATGTTGAATGTGTGTTCAAGGTAAAAGTATGATGGTCGTTTGTGTACATAGGTGTGTATGTTGAGAGATGGATATAACATGCTACATTAACATTAATGCCAGCACTAAATGTAAGAGAAATTCCACAATTCAATCATGAAACTGTCATACTTTTATTTAGACAACTAAATATAAGGCTGATTACTTGCAACTATGCTGTATTTATCTCGGATTTATATGGAACCCGATTGCAAGATAGCAAACACACACAGCGATGGATTCAACAAAAACATACAAAGGTTTGCAACAGGAAAAAGATAACACTAGTTTAGCCTATTGTCCGTCCCTTGTTCAACTTTTTTCTTCACATTGTCAACAATGCACGTAAACAATACGTTATCCTCAGATACATTCTGAAACATTATTCATGCATTGCGTTCAAAATAACTTGTCCTCATACAAGGAAAGTGTGGTTTGCATATTCAGTCGCTGTGAAAGTACAGGCGTGGTACTCCAACTCCTGCCAGTTCAACATGGCGGTTGTCAGGTTACTCCGGGTGGTGGTGCTGGCTGGGTGGATGCAACTGTTATTGGGTAAGTTGTCCTTGGATTGTGATTATAATGTTTACATACTGTTTCATCTTTAAGCTGCAGTTGCATTTTGTAGAAGGGATATTATCTGAAATCATTGTATTATAGGTGGTATGTGAAACATTAGAAATAAATGATATAACAATAAATGTAGTTTCAAATACACTTAGTTTCATTTTCGTATCGTGATGTTTAACAAATTTTGGGCTCAAGAAATTGAAGTCACACATTGTATCCATGTTTGGGGTCGCCCAAACGCTTTTGCCACCTGTATTTAGGTCCACATTTAATCGATAATATGATCACACACGACAAACACCGTGTACCGGATCCTTTGTATACTTTTTATGAGAAAATATGCAGGACATGCAGCACTTCGGACTTTCCTCCCACAAAACATGATCCATAACAGATAAATGGGCCCAGGGCTCGAACTCAGTCCCAACAATTGTAAAATATCGTAGTAGCCTGACATTTCATTATCAGCTGTTCCATGTATGATAGAAATACTATTAGTCACACATCAACAACACATACAACACATATACAGAGACAAGTTTAAACCTCGGTTAGATACGAACCTGCAACATCTTGTTTGTAATCCTTCATGCTACCACTTGTTTTAGGGAGATTGTTGACGTTAGAATCATTGTCTTCAGTATCTTAGCTTGCTAACATTGTACTAATTATTACACCGAACACGTGTATATATATATATATATATATATATATATATATATATATATATATATATATATTATATATATATATATATGTGTGTGTGTGTGTGTGTGTGTGTGTGTGTGTATTTGTGTGTGTGTGTGTGTGTATTTGTGTGTGTATGTGTGTGTGTATTTGTGTATGTGTGTATTTGTGTGTGTGTGTGTGTGTGTGTGTGTGTGTGTGTGTGTGTGTGTGTGTGTGTGTGTGTGTGTGTGTGTGTGTGTGTGTGTGTGTGTGTGTGTGTATTCATTTAAAGTTGACACGATATACGCCCTTTCGCACTGAATTTTACGATCATACGTTTTTTTCACGAGACACTGACAGACTACTTTCACATTCTTGGGGTACCCCTGGGAATTCTCAAGCACGTATACACTCATACAGAAGCGTTCTTTCTGATCATTTAGACTCTTTGATCTTGAACTCAGGGTCGAACTTAGTATATATTTAGAAACGTCAGATAGTTTGACTGCATGATCGTTCACGAATATCCTCGCTACGACCAATCCTTGTGAACTGAATGAAGAAAGGCACATCCCAGCTGTCGTAGTATTGACTTGATCCGTGTCTAGGCTGACAATGACATCATACAGCAATCTCTATATTTACCTTGATCTTTTATCACCTTTCAATGATCGACCAATGGATCAATGATGACTAAAACATGTAACCGCCACAGGTTCATTAACAACTTAATGAAATCTCTCCCGTCACGTTTGTTCTGTGGGCAACATTTTGTAATTGATGTAAATGTATTACGACACGCTGTCATTGTGACTTACTGAGGTTGTTCTTAACAGACCTTTCTCATCTTATGGTGGTACTATTTGAATACATGTGTTGTGTCAGATGCTTTTGAAGAGCAAGTTGTGCATGGATACGCGAATATAACCTCTTGTTTTAGGAACTATTTTATTCCGCGATACAGTTGGTTGTTGTATGGCTGTCTGGGGAAACATGAAGTCACACGTACTTCAGATAGTAACGTCTTATATTAAATGCAACTGAAACGAGCTGTCTGAAACTTCCCATGCAAATACTATCTTTAAAACATCAACGCCAGAGAATAACCAGTCTGAACTATCCACCGAACGAAAGATGTAAAGTGTAAAAAGCAAATAAAGGATGTCATGAGCGGGTCACTGAAAATAAGTGATGACACCAGGTGTTCGGGAAAAGGATAAGAGTTGGTATGTCTTCTGTTCCCCACCATAAGGATGAAGTTGAGGGATTCTCTTGGCTACTTTGTATAACTCATTACAAGACAAGATAACGAATGAACAACCCTGAAATAATTACACTTGATAGACTGAATGGAAGTCTAGTTTAAAGGGTACAGGCAAATTATACTGAACAGTTACAAGATCGACTGATAATAACAAAAACTATCTCAACTGAAGCTGTGGAGCTGAATAGGGAATGGGGTGGAATGTTCACGCGAAAAATGACCTACACCATTCGCCTCTGTTTGAATACAACACATTCATGATTGTACCTGAAGCATTCTTCCCCTGTGAGAGGCTTTGAATACCTCAATAACTCATTTTCAAAGGAGAAATTGAAAGCAGTACAATTGTTGTGTTGCTAGAATGATCGATTATTGTGTACTAACTCAGAATGTGTGCAGTGGGCGTTACACTAGGCTTAGTTTGTCGGGGTATTGCACTTCCTGGTTGTTCAACAATGAGGGTGTCTGGATGTTTGTGTTAGTAGTGTTACTGAGCTGGATACAGCTGGCTTCGGGAGAGTATCAGATTAGTGTATGCCAGTGACATATAAATTAGGCACTGAAAGCTAGCTATTGCATTTGCTTTGCTAAGACCCAATAGTTTATAATATAAGGCCTTTGCAAAGGCATCCTTTGCACAATCGAGTTTTAATTCTATATTTACTTTCGGTTTGATTCTAATATTTGTTTCTTAATATTAACGTTTGAATTAATTACTCAGTATTTGTATGCCGAACTCTTTGGCAGAGTACCGACGACTGTTTATCAATAAGGTGACTGACTGTTCAATCTTTTTGGGTCGGTGGGATAGCCATGTTTTGACAATATTGGCTCATGCCATCGAGTCTTCATGTTCGAGGCAACAGTAAGACCTGTCAGTTAATTTATACTTCGTTTGTGATGATTGTGTATTACTTGAAATAAGTGACACATATGCTGACTTCAGCAACGGAACATGTTGGGTAATGTATTGGAGGCATTGCATTGTGTCAGTACTGTAACGAAATGGTGTCAGCTTTAGAACGATATAATTACAGCAAAAGCAGCACACTTTGCATTATTCATTCTTAAAGATACCAGGGCCCTTTTCCTTTTTATTTAAAGTCTATCTGAAATGCTCAATAGCACAATGGTATAGTATTTCCAATACAGAATCAGTACGTGGAACAAACAATATCAAAATCAGTGATTTGATAAACTTATTAATTCTTTCAGTTAATTGAGAAAACACAAACACATTTAACACTGATTAAGTTTGACTCGGTTGACAGTGATATTACTGAAGAAACTACAGATGCAACAGGGGATTATAACACGTGTACATAATATTTTGGATCTGACAAACAAGAACTCAATATACCCATGAAGGAAAGTTATTTAATTGATTCATTCATAAACTGAAACACCCGTTTGAGGGTCTAGTCCAGGACTTTATTTTAGAAACAGCAGGATGGTGTGATGATCAGTCAAAATGTGCATTCTGTATTGATTTGATATTGCTGAAATAAGGAAATGGTTATTTCAGGAACATGCGATCCATTCAGAATTATATGAATGCACTTGGGAAACAGATGAGCACCCCTTGAGATAATGAATTATTACATGTGAATAACTGTAATTGCAATGATAATTACACAAAGAGGTGAAAGGTCATGTTAGAACTCACCATGGCATGCACGTGAAGGATGCCACTCCCGGAAATACAGTACATGTATGTACAGGCATCAAATTTTGGTATTTGATCCCGCTGACTTGCTATGTTGAATAATTCCCTGTGAACATGACACGCAGTAGGATATCACAGATGCAGAAACGAGAAATGATCGGAATACATTCCATAGGGTTGACTTTCAATTGACATCCATCGGGCGTCACCTAGGCTACAGCTCCACAGTCATCACGCAATTGGTGTGAAGACATTGTCTAACCAGTACTGTGACAGAGCTGCCACGGTCATAACGGTGTCATGTGAGGTCACATCGCGGAGACAGGAAAACGCGTCCTGTCCCGTGTGTCCAGCAGAACATTACAGAACCTCTTGAGAGCAGCAGGAGCAGCAGGAATGGCGTCCAGTCATTAAATCCCCTTAGCGACAGGGGTTTCTTTTTGGCATGCTGTTCAGCAAAAGTCTGAGAAACTGGCACAAAATACATTGGTCGGACGGAAGCAGGTTCCTCCTCTATATCCCAAAAGGACGACAGGATTTGGAGGCTCGGGAAGTTTCGGGGCAATCCTTTGTAAGTGGAACATACAGCTCAATCAACATCAGAAACAAAAAGCAGACTCCTTCAACCTCAAAATCAGACAATACATCAGCAACCTCGGACAATATCACAACATCCATCAGATTAGTTTTGTTTGTTGAATGAAAATCGACATGGTTGCTCGTAGCTGTGCCATTTATGAAACCATTCATATCAACTTTGTCAGGTCACTCGATTATAAAAACATTTTAAATAATAGGAACAATAATTCTCATTGCATTTCCCCCCTAAGTTTGAGGCATCAAGAATATCATATTGTGGCTATTGTGTCGTTCGACGTGTGGGTGATCAAGACCGCTTTAAAAATGTTGTCATCAAATATTTTCTTAGATAAGTCATACCGAGACTCTGTAGATGTCTTACTTTGTTTGATTAACATGTCATTACACTAAGATAAACGCTGCAGGGATTCCGGGAAAGCATTGATCCCCAGGACCGTCGCTTGGCATTAGAGGAGACACAAATGGACAGGGGGATGAGGCTCGCTGACTTGCTTTAATGAGTGGCTTCGTACCCAGACTTCGTACCCAGACTTACAATACCTCTAATTGAATTATAATACAACTGGCTTTCCAAGATTTGCTAAATCCAAATAAAGCAATATCAAAGTGCAATCTATTACCTTGGTTCATCAGGTGCCTGTTGGCATGGTACAAACATCAAATACACAATGTCTAATCAAAACAAAACACATCAAGTAAAGGAAAAGTGAAGTCAACATAGCAGCTCTGTCGATTTTATCACTTCAAATTCAACAACTTCGGAGCATGAGTCGTATTACGCTCTTTGAAATCTTTGTAGGAAGAGCATGCCCGATTGTATCTCAAAAGTTGTGAAATATAAAAAACAAAGGCTTCGGATGCTGGAATATTGCTTGACATGAAGGGGAAGTTAAATATTTATATATATTGAGAGAGTGTTTGGTAACTCTGAATCTTTATGCATAGATATAAGTATGAAACAGATGAGGCGGTCTCACTGATCTCCTTTACTTCTAGTTCAGGTGGGTAAATCCGTGGAAGTGAGTTGGCTATTTGATTGTTATTGAACGATATCAGATCATCAATATACCTGAAGCCTCAGTTAAGCATCTTGGCCAAATTACCTTGTTTTGACTTTACCAATCCGAACAGAAATTCCGATTCATATGCATAAAGAAACAGATCCGCAAGGAAGGGAGTACAATTGGTGCCCGTGCCCATGGGGATGCATACTTTTGTCTAAATGTCTTACCCCCATATTTTACATAGATGTTGTCAATGACGACTTCAGGCATTTCACATATTATTTTCTTGATAAACTTCAGATGACATTTCCTTTTCATTTTTCACACATTATCCTGAAACTCTGAATATAGATACGTAACTGTATCTGTGTTACCATGTTTTATAACAAAGGTCCCATGGATCACGGAATGAAGTTTTTCAGTGTGCCTTGGATTTGGTGGTACATTTGCTAGACCCAGCAATATATCTCTCTTTGTACTATGATATATTAAGAAAGTGAAAGTGATATAAATGTAAACAGCTTTGAGCATGGTTGTTCACGTATGCATACTTCTGTACAACCAAAACTGAGAGATGAAGGTGAAGGAAGTGAGGAAGTTGTGCCTGAATGTGACCTCACTTTGAAACCACGTGATGTGTCCATAATAGCATGTAGCATGCAGGTCAACTTCATTCTCATGAACATACGCTCACAATATATGTTTTGTTAATGATAGTAACAAACGAGTTTATGTTTGCTTGCTGTTATTTGGTACGTGACATCCTCAGAAAATTGAAGTGGTAACATCATTCATTAAATAGTCTGCGTCTATGTGTACTTATGTTTGCAAGAGTGAGCACTAACTAGAGGTGAAGTAAGACGAGGTAGAATGGTGTTAAACGTCGCATTCAAGATGGATGCACTTATATATTGATGTGTAAGCGTGCGCGCCTGTGCGTGTGCGTGTGCGTGTGCGTGTGCGTGTGCGTGTTCGTGGCTGCTTGTACGGCCCCAGGCTGCCAACAATAACACACACAGCAGAAGTCAATAGGTCACCCTGGTAGGTAAGAGGTTTGAGGTGAACGAAGGCGGGAAGTGCTGTGATGAACAATTTTCTTTGAAGTATATTATGTAACTGGATACATATGTACGTCTGTATCTACATGAGGGCTTTGGTTTCACACAATCTACATGTACCACAAGACGGACGTAATGGCATATGATGTAGCATGATATCCACTCAACACAAGTATATTCGCTGTTGCACGATCTACAGGGGCTAGAAAATGATATAGATATCGCAGGATCTATGATTTACTTTGTACCTATATGTAGGTACATGATGTAATGCCGTGTATTATGCATATGTTGGTATATCACCCGGCATGAAACACACTTCAAACAAACTTAGGCTTTTCTCACGAGTGCAGATCTGTAACGAAGTAGCATGCGTTGTGTGAAGGCTCGTTTCTCGTGTCTCTGCTCTTTCTCAGAGATATGTGCAGCACATCAGGTAATATGCCCGGCGTAGTTAATTTCACCTGGAAGTAAAAGACAGAAAAAAACTTATTACATACTAACCAGCAACTCTATAGGATTTGTCCTTTTAAAGTATCTTTCTATGTACACTACCTACCTGCTTTACTGTAGCCCTTGGCGGTGTGATCAGTGCAGCATGTTTTGCATATGTTTTTAACGGGTGTCACCGGTTGGCAGGATAAGCTCATCTTTGCGTGAACAACCGATGTGATCACTACTTGAGTTGTGAATCATAAACACATGCTTATGACACAGTCGGAATTGTACAATGGACTGTGCTAAAAGTTTTCATATTTTTTTATAATCATAGTATACAGGACAATATTATTAAGTGTTGCTGCACACACGATTACTCTGTTGTGATGCGATGATGCCACGAAATTAGCACAATCCCCAAGCGCTGGAAGAATTGTGCAACTGGTATTCGAGACTCGAGCTGTTTACTACTGAAATGTAACGTAGCGCTCCATATCCTGGTCTGTCAAAGGTAATTGTGTGTTATTTGGTATAAAGGAAATACATACATAGCTTTGTCGCCTGTGGTGAAGCGATACGCTGTATACAATGTATAAATAGACAATAGTAGTTTTGTGTTTAAAGTGAATGTAAATAATATTTCCTAACTGATACGTCGCCATGGCTGACCGCACGTGACCTGGACGGAAGATATCCTGCTACCACTGTTGTGATGTTAACCTCACAGCGAGTCAATGAGTCACATGCATGACGTTGGAGGATTATGTAGGAAGTATTATCTGTTCATAGAATGATAAGCTGTTGATACGCAACCTTACTGTTTTACATTGTACCCCTAGATTGATCAAAACGGTGTCGCCTGACATATCTGCATAGAACACGTATCTCATGAAGTCTCACGGCCCTACGTCTCGTCAGACAAGGATATGATGTATCTGAGGATATGTGACAGGGCAAATAAGCGACAGAAGGATATTGAAAACTTAACACGTTGTTTGTTGAGAGGAGAAATGTGTCTATTAATAATCAAGTTGTTTGAATCGAAAATGTCGACCCCACGGGCCACCATTTAAATATATAGAAATACAATGTTAATACTCAGAAGCAACATGTGTCATGTAATATCTCATCATATGGGATAGGGATTGTTTAGTTATAGACCTCGAGCCAATATCAACATATAGATCCAAACGTATAATAAAGGAATAAGTATCATCGCATATTGAGATTCCTGACCAGTAAGTGACAGTGATTTGACAACTTTCTTCCATTACTTATCGCTTTTGGTTTCCCTTATTAACTTTTACTCATGCACGGAGAGAGAGTCCGGACATTTCCTCGAAGCCATGGGCGGCCATCTAGCCTAGCTCCTTGTGTTAATTTGATACTTGTATATAACTGAACAGTGGTCAATCTGTCTACCCAGTAAACGAAGATCAGTATCTCCTCCATTGAACACATGGTGCCCTGATCCAGGTTGATAACTTTCTCATCTCTGTTGGAATAATATGTTTGAATGCACAAACCACGCCCGCTGTCCATTTCAAGGATTTTTGAAGAATGAAACATCTTTGTAAATATAACTGATGATAGATATTTAGGTAAGGTTGAATAAATATACTTCGATTTATATGAGTCTGCCTAAATGTATATGACATGCTGAAGTTTTATGCCACCTGTTCACGAATGCAGTAGCGCACACATGCTAAACGTACAAAGGTATAACCTCATGAAAACCGTTGGGCAAAAATACAACACAGCATAGCATCGGGGTTGGTGGAATCAAATGCCCAACTATCAACTGTCAACTGTAATATTCAGAGTCATCTATAATATTCAGAGTAAGAAGTATGACGAAAAGTCACGATCATGCAATTTACCATTAACTTGACTGGGGGTGATTATATGGGTGTAATATGGTCAGGACAGTAAAGCAACATCAGTTAACATAATAGGAGGTGTGAAATGAACCATATAGTTAATCAGATTAGATTATTAAATACCTTAAAACAACCAATCTTCAGTTGGTTTGTTGATCTTGCAATAATGTCGCTAAAGTGAATGAAAAACAATGGGTTTCATTTTTAATGCATCGTCTATAATAATGTGCGTGTGCATTGGTATTCTTTTCTTCGCATGTGATTCACGGCAGTTCTGTAGAATGTATACATAATTTGATAAAGGAGGACTAACCTCGGGCTATTAGTCATTTCCAGTAAATTCGATTCAGGTCCCTTACAACTAACTTTGTTTGCCTGATAGCTCAACTTCAATTAAGACCAATATTTGTGTTCATCATTTTTATCGTTAATGATATAACATAGAGAATATGTCTGAGAAACATACATTATTGATTACAGTGTCTAGATATAGGACAAAATGACCACAACAATGGAAGCTTTCCCTCGGCGTACCTACCACAGGGCAAACTACAAGTGTTGAATCTGACCAGTTCACCAGGCTGTTTGCAGACTGCAGACCGTCATGTGAATGTTTCATCTCACCTCCTTGTATCTCGTCACAGGTTCCTGCCCAGCTGGACAGTTTGGAGACTCCTGCAGCTACTCCTGCAACTGTGGGACATCATGTAACGCAACAACAGGTGCTTGTTCTGATGACTGTGACACTGGATGGAGGAAGGCAGGGGGTCTCTGCCAGAAACGTCAGTTCCACATACGTTTTACATTTCTATATTGATGTGTTCAGTATCCTGCTCTCTGCTGAGCGCAAAATACCTCTTCTAGCAACCAATTACAATAGGGTTATATTCTTATAACGTCCATGTACAATACACTTGTAATACAAAAGACAACTTGTTGGTTTGTGGTTTTCATTACACTGATTTTATCAACAGTAGAGCTTTCGTCTGTAACTATACATGTAAACCCACGTTAACTTGATATACATGTTAAAGTAGACACTATTTACCAATTCACACTTGTTAGAGGGGTACTCAAAGTATGTGATCTAGACTACCAGTTGTCGGACTTTCATTTTGTCGAAGCGTCGGACGGGACTCAACCCAGAAAATCTGTTCTTTACTAAGAAAAGATATACAAGTAATTATGTTATTTTCACAACCTATGCAGGGTCATCCGCAGTAATTGTATGAACCGCGATCTGTATGAAAGTGTGTATGTGACATGATTATTGTACTACGTAGAAAACATTGCACTGAACAAATCAGCATCAACGACATCTAGGTCGTATGGTAGCTGGTACCCATCAAAGGCTGTGGACGGAGACAGTGACATAACTGGTGAGAGCAGAACCTGTTTCCACGCGGCTGGATCTCCGTCAGACTGGACAGTGGATCTGGGCTGGGACTACCAGCTGTATGACATCAGAATCTACAGCAGACGTAACTGTAGGTATCCAGTCACCATGATCTATTGGAGAGTGATGCTATTCTGATTGTCAGAATAGTTATGTGTAGATTGTATTGTACTCTCCTTAGACTTCTAATCTTTTATCTCAATGTATTCAAGATCACAATGTACACAAGGATAGTAATATATTTATCAACATATAAAAACACTCAACATCAATTAATGAGCTTTTATGCATGTACTGTCTTAATGTTTTAAACCACAATTAGGTGGTCAACAAAAGACAAACAGACACCCAAAGATACTCAACAACAAAGGTTCCTGTGACACCAATATTTTAGTGCAATTTTCAAACAAGTAGGTTTGGTTTTCAATATTGTAGTACATGTATGAAATCAAGACAAAAACGCAACTGCGACAGCAAAGCATACATTCTATGCAAAAGTTGACTTTAATGCAAGCCCCATGCATTTCACTACCCAAGAATGGATATAAAAACATGTTGGTTAACGGGATTCCATATGCATTGTTTAGCATCGTGCCGACAACAACCACTCAGAAACACAACAAAATTACGCAATTATTCAACATTACGGAATGCCACGCCTGTCCGAAAATGAGCGTCTGCGAGCCTTTGGTATGCTTGAAGCAGGATCGAGTCAACGTGATGTTGCAAGACAATTTAACGCCCACAGAAACACCATTTGGTGTTTATGGCAACGTTAGCAACAGACGAATGCAGTCAGAGACCATCCTCGCAGTGACAGGCCACGCGTGACCAACAGTTGACAAGACAACTGGATTCGAACAACACAACTACGAAATCGATTCCATCCAGCAACAGTGACTGCAAAAAGCATCCCTGGCCTTCGACGAATATCTTCACAAAATGTATATCGTCGCCTCAGATGCGCAGGGATTGTCGCCAGAAGACCCTACAGACGTCCCATTTTGACTGGAAACCACCGTCAAGCGAGTTTACAGTGGTGCAGACAGAGTCTGCGCTGGACGGCCATGCAGTTGGGACAAGTTCTATTCACTGACGAGTCTCGTTTTCACCTCAGCCCCAGCGATGGACGGATTCGAGTGTACTGACGTCGAGGTGAACGTTACGTCAATCATTATGTCATGGGAGAAGATCGGTTCGGGGGCGGCAGCGTTATGGTATGGGGTGTGATGGGGTGGGAAGACAGAGGACCCGTTTGATAGTGGTAGATGGAAATTTCAATGGACAGCGCTACCGCGACGAGATCCTCGGCCCTGTTGTTCTACCTTTTTTTGCGTCGTCATGGCCCAGGCATTACCTTTCAACATGACAGCGCCCGGCCTCATATTGCTCGACTTGGTCAGGATTCTCTTCAACAAAACAATGTGATTGTCATCCCCTGGCCGGCTCGCTCCCCTGATTTCTAACCAATCGAGCACATGTGGGATGAGATGGATCAGCGCCTTCGACGTCAACCACGTGTTCCACAGACACTCCAGGAACTTCGAAACATGCTCCAGCAGATATGGGCAGATATCCAACAGGACTTTGTGCGAAGCCTGGTCCATTGCAGGTGGACACACACGCTATTGATTTGTAAATTGACATTTTGGCATGTTCATGTTTTTTTTAATGAAATAACGCATTTTCTGAAGTCAGTATGGCAAATTAAACCATTTGAACAATTACAGGAGTCTTTTATCTGTTTCAAAACGAAATTTGTTTTAGATTTGGTGAAAAAACATAACTTTGCATTAAATCTTATTCAATGCCACAGGAACCTTTGTTGTTCAGTACATGTGCAATAGGCTGGGAATTTTCTATCTATCCAGAAATAAAATATTACAGGACATAATTTACTTTCACACTTGTGACCAAACTATAACAATTAACTGTGAACACACATACAAGTTATTTTGTCATAGTGTAGAATCATGGCGTGACCTTTCTTAGACATCAAATTAAGACGCATAGTCACAGTCATTGATCAATGTATGTCTCTATAAATATTGGAAGGACATGGTCCTCGTAGGATGACTCTTTACTTTGAGTAGATGTGTGGCCAGTGACAGATATCGCGAATTTATCAATCAGATTCCTGGGTAGGTCAAAAACAGTGACCCGTGTACCATTTATAACTCTGTTGCCGAGGGTGCTCTTACCGACAGGGTGGTTCACGGGACAGCGTACATCACTATCTGTGGTGGAAAAAAATGATCGTCTGCATCTACGATCTACCATGATCGAATGATAGAATGTGAAATGTATATGGCGAACTATAGAAACAAAATATAAGAACATGTAGCCCTTCATGTCATATCATTTGATTACATTACACAAACAACATCTTTACAATGACATATTTTTGTTTGAATGCTGTTTTTCATTGAAGTACATTAATGATAAACTGGGTTACTGTATATAACCATCGACTTCACTCGTAAATGAGTACTACCCCTGAAGCAGTTTCAAGGGTGAGGTAAATTAGGATGACTGAAAATACCTGTTTTCAATTTAAGAATCACAAATTTACGCAAGATATCGTGCATTTCATGATCATACATACAATCAATTAGCATTAATATGCTGTTGTTAAGTGTAATTTTTGTGAGCGATCAGGAGTATTTATGTAATTATTCAAAATCCCACCTGCTCTAACACGTGCATTCGGGATTAAATGTGTTTGTTATAAGTTACGTTTTTATCACATACAAAGGCCAAATGTTACATGAACATAGTGTTGTGATCTCATGTATTGGCTGTCAGCAACCTTATAAACACAATGTAATAGCCTGATATAGTTTGATACATTGCTTGTTTGTTTTATACTAGTCTACTTTAGAAACGCTAACTCTAACATCTACCTGAACAACGACTCGTCAGCTGTCTGCTCCACCCTCCCTAGTCCATCCACCAACCCCAACCCAACTGACCTAACCTGTAACGGTACCGGCAGAAACGTCACCATCAGGAACCCGAGGACAGGACCTGGAGACAGTGATGCACTCAACATTTGTGAGGTGGAAATCTATGGTAAAACGATGGTTACATTAAGAAGCACATGTCTATTCTTGTGTCAAAAGGGCGGTCGTGAAGCCTAGTGGTTAAAGCGTTCGCTCGTCACGCCGAAGACTCGGCCCGCGGGTTCGATTCTCAACATGGGTACAATGTGTGAACCCTATTTTTGGTATCCCCCGCCATGATATTGCTGGAATATTGCAAAAACCATTCTCACTCACTCACTCACTCACTCACTCACTCACTCACTCACTCTCGTGTCTAAATGCACTAATTTCAGATATATATAGCCAAATTGATCACGTGGAAAATCAAACTGCGATGTAGTCCACACATGATCAAAATTGGCATTCCCTAACATAGAAACTTAATTTATTTCTTCCTAATACTTAGTTGGATCCTACATTGACAGTTTTTAATTCCTTATGGAACTTACAATCTGGTTCTAGTTCTGCAATGGTGAAAAAAACATTATAGATGGATGTACTTAACCCTGCAGAGTGCCCTTAAGTATATGATTTAGACATTATCTATAAACAAGCTAAAAATGGAGATTCATCATTAAAGAGAACAATATTTTTTTGCAAATTTCCCTCGTCCTATGAAGCACACTCTGTTGTGCATACAAAACGCCTTACAACTGACATTGCATTAAAGGGACGAGTTCAGCCAGTTGTGTTTGTTAGTGTTGAAGGAGTGAGTATGGTTTCAGACCGCTTTTGGCAATTTTCCAGAAATATCATGGAGAGGATACCAGAAATAGTCTTCACACATTGTACCCGTGTGGGAAATCTTAGGCATGTGTAATGCTATTTTAAAACTGTGCTAGACTGAAACTGACCCTGTGATTACTTTGGTGATTACATTCTGCTCTAAGTCATTATTATAAATACTACCTGTGATGATACACAGTTATCTGTGCAGAAACTGATTCGAGGAAGAAAAACTGGAAAGGATATGCGGATGTATAAGGATGTACAGGAGGTGTCTAAAATATTGGCAATATCTTAGTAGCGGATCAAAACAGCCTGAATGGTTCAACCATAAATTTAACCACTGATATGACGTTTCAGATGGAAACAAAGATACTCTGGAGTACAAAAATGAATTTTTAAATTTCCTTACTCTTCCCACCTGTGTCCCTTCCTCTCCCTACCGCCTCCATGGTGTAGTGGATAGAACATCTGGCCAGGGAATGGTAGGTCGGTGTATCGATCTTATCAAAAGACGCTAAGAAAATGTACTCGTTGTTACCCTGCCTGGGGCTGGCTCGGCATTAAGGAGATAAAGCAAGGACTGACTGGCTGGGTGTCAGTATAATGTGTCCAAGTGGAGTTGCAATGTTACACTGCGGCATGATATCTCAGTCGGCTATTATAAACAATACGGCATTCACCCGGACAAGTACAATCAGCCAAACACACAAGTACATAAAAGTGAAAGAAATCTTGAAGGTGACAGCAAATCCCATTTCACCTCCCCTCAGCGTCATCTCCCTCGCTCAATACAGTAAAATGCTTTATTCTTGTCTTGACAATGCAACAGTCTGCAGTCCAGGAATCTACGGGGTGAACTGTAATACGTCATGTCACTGCCTGGATTCCACCTGTGATCGCTGGACTGGATTCTGTCCTGGAGACTGTAGACCTGGGTGGCAGGGACAGAGATGTGATACAGGTGAGAAGGACTTACTGTCAGGTTTGGTGTGACTAAGTAAGGGTACTTAACATTTCCTAATAACTTGTTTTTTTAACATTTTTATGAACCGACTTCCCACCACGTTTTACAAATCAACACTCATTGATATGCAACATAAATCTTCAGCTCCTGTCTATATTTTACAGCTTGCAACTATACCAGTTATGGTACAAACTGCAATAAATCATGTGCCGAGCGGAAGTGTGAAGCTACAAATCCATCATGTGACCATCACACTGGAGCATGTGACACAGGGTGTCTTCCTGGTTGGATAGATGAGGACTGCACACAAGGTAAAGACTGTTAAGAGTTTATTGGGAATTAAGGACATTAATAACCCAGTCATGTCGGATGCAGAGAAAGAACACAGAGCACAATAAATCAGTTATAACATGGAAAGGAAGCACACTTAACACCATGAAGAACATTTAAACATCGATGAAACGCCTGGTTATCTCTTCAGTTTTTTGTTTCAGATTGTGTCAAAGGAAGATATGGTGCAAACTGCATTAGCTTTTGCCCTGACAGACATTGTGCAGGAAACTCATCATGTAATCACGTGACAGGGTCATGTGATTTTGGGTGTGAATCTGGATGGATGGGTGCTGACTGTAAAGATGGTGAGTCATTGAAATGAATAATAATTATACGAGTGAGTGAATAAAAAAATAATTTGGTCCAAATACCTTTTCACTTTCTCTAGAATAGGTACATTAATCATTATAGAAAATATAAGTAATATCACATCTCGGCCATCTAATTCCAGAATGTGATGACAAACATTATGGATCAAATTGTCTCGGAGTATGTTCCTCCAGACACTGTGGAGAGAGGTCTTCCTGTAAATCAACAGGGGCCTGGGACGGTGGATGTGAGATGGGGTGGACACTGGCTGACTGTACAGGTCATCACATAATGTCAATCATGCTACTAAAAAGGGTCATTCGCCATTTTATATCTTTAAATCGTTCTCAATAAAATAGGTAGGGTAATTTCTGTTACAAAATACGTTTTCATGTCTCAAACGTTCTTTGAAATATAAACGAAATAAATGACATGACATAAATGAAGAAGAAGAAGAAGTCTTTATTTGTACTAAGGCCACTGGCCCATATACAAAACATACATTTGATGTAGTGTGGTACATGAAAAAAAGGTAATGTCAGGTACAAATATGGAAATTTACAGGCTTTTCATAATAACGTCTTCTTTCATAGCTGCAATACAGCTATTTACAGTTTTCCAAGTAATTGTTTACATGAAGATGACAGGAGCGTTTTAAGTTGATGCATATTTGGATTATGGCAAAAACTTGTTGGTAAATACAGTTGTCTAATATCGTTGTATTATTCACATTCTAAAGTAAAATGATATTCATTCTCTATACTTGTTTCACATATGGGGCAGAGCCGTAAACATGCATCAATATCAGCCCATCTACCTTCGTTTACCTTAAGTCTTAGTAGCCAGGCTCTAAGCCTTATCATAACATTTCGATACTTTATTTCAGTAATAATTGAAAGGTATTTTTCTGGTTCCAGGAGATTTTTAAACTCTTTATACAGAATGTACCTAGAACTAGCCTTGATAGTACTATTCCATGATTGGTAGAACATATTTATCAAAACGTTTTTAAAACTATTCATGAATGATGGTTTGTCGCCAACAGCTTGACTGAGCCAAACTACTCCAAATCCGTGAGAAAATAATATGGAACGAATAGAAGAAGCATAGTTATGATGACCACACTTGTCCTTATATACAAGCATATTATAAGATTTTCTTGGTATCCTATCTTCATGCATTTCAATCACTTTTAGCCAATACTTTAGAGAACGACATATAGCATTTACATGTAGTGGGTACCGACCGCATTCCCCATACACAATAGCATTTGGAGTTTGCAAACCAACGTTAAGAAACTTCTTACAAGCCATAATATGCACTTGTTCTATTTTTTCAAATCTGTCTACACCCCATATTTCCGCACCATATAAAAGAATAGGTTGAATCTGAGTATCAAATATTTTAAAGAAAGCTGAAGTGTCAACAAAACCAATCTTCCGTAGATTGCGAAATATTTCCATTAAAGCTGGTTTACCCCTTGATGCTAGATCTGAAACACATTGGTTCATCTTTGATGTATATAAGAATACAAACCCAAGATATCTATAGGAGTTGGCGGTTGAAACACGTTTGCCTTGACAGAACCATTTCTAAAGAACAGATAACCGCCCTCCTCGTCTAAATACAACAACACTTTACCGTTAATCCATGTGAATCTGCAAACTTTTCAAGAATATTAAGTTGGTTCTGTAAACCAGTTACTGTGTCAGAGACAAGAATAACATCATCGGCAAACAATAATATTAATATTTCAAACAAGTCTGGAAATAATTGTACGCCGTGTTTCCCATGTAATGAAACATCGTTTGACAGCTCATTGAAGAAAAAGGAAAATAATAGAGGGCTTAATATACAGCCTTGTTTAACTCCATTAGGACAATCAAAATATTCTGTATAAATGTTATCATTACATCTCACACACGCTTTCACGGAGGCATAGATTCCCTTAAGTGCTCTCATCATCTTTCCACCCAAGCCTAAATCGTGCAGACATTCCCATAGTTTAAGATGATTAACTGAATCAAACGCTTTCTTAAAATCCACAAAAGCAACGTATAATTTCCCTTTTCTTTTCGATAAACATTTGTTAACAATTGCTTCAACGTGAATATGTGATCAGCAGGAGAATATCCCTGTCTAAAGCCTGCTTGTGTCTCGGGTAATTTACTTCTTATATTATCCCAGTTTGTAAGTCTAGAGTTTAAGACACTTGTGTAAACCTTACTAATTGTACACAATAGAGATATCCCTCAAAAGTTATCTGGATTATTTTTGTTGCCTTTCTTATGTAGTGGAAGGATAATAGCTTTCGTCCAGTTCTCAGGAAATAATCCAGAATCAAATAACTTATTGAACAAATTTCGTAGGAAAGGATTTATTACATGTTCACAACATTTTAACATTTCAATGACCACGTCATCAACTCCAGGGGATTTGCCATTCTTTAAACGATTTATAGCCTTGTGGATTTCTGAGTCGGTAATCGGCGACTCCAAAATACACTGGTCAATCTCATCAAGTATAAAATCTTCATCACATTGACATTCGACTTCAGCATGTAATACATCTGTACACTGAAAAACGTTTGTAAAATGATCAAACCAGCACTCTTTACTTATGTTATTCTTTGTTTCCCTACGACCTGATATACTCCGTAACTCTTTCCAAAATGTGGTTGAATCAGATAGAGATAGCTTTAGTTTTGTTCGTGTAAATAGACGGAAAACATGGCAACTACCTGTTAATATACATGAAATATACAGAATGTGCGTTTGCGGAGCAGGCCTCGAAACTAGGTTTTAAAGGGCAGTTATTATGTATACTATTGTTGACGCTAAAAGTCAAAGCAATAGTGAATGATTTCTTTTGGAAATTAGGATTGTATAAATCAGGGATGGAGAGATGATGAGAAAAAAATAATATTTTGATTCCAAAAATGCCCAATGTATAAAGAAAGAAAACGGACTCTGCATGACGCATGGTTTGTTCAATGAAGAAGTCAGGCAAGCGATATGTTTGAGATATGTATTTAAAGGAATGTAATGAGTACCAAATTAAACTGTCGCAAGTAACAAAAGGAACTACTCAACTCAGTTTCACTATTATGAATATTTAATTATTACCGAAACCTACAATTATTCAATATATACACAATTGCGAATACAATCTAGCAAACGAACATGCATGTGGCAAAGCCAAAGAGATGTCTCTCACAAATAACCGACATGGCCGAATACATCAGCAGTATGAGACGGACCAGTCTCAGCTCTCAAAAACAAAAGTCTCCAACTCTCACCCTTGGTTTTTATTCAGGGTGGTTTCTCCTATTTTAGTAATGAACTGTAAGTCATCCGCCATCAGCTGCCAGGCACATGCCATGAGAGGCGAGCTTCATTTCTCAAATTCTTTCAATCAGGCTTTTACTTCTCTACGACGAACTAGACCGACGCGTAAACACTTCCGCTTCTGAACAAGAATTGAAAGTTGGAAGGATGTGTTTGGACATGCGATGACCATAAAGACATAAACTCACGTGCAAAAGAAACGTCTCTAAACATTTTTTAATTAACAAACAACACAAACACAAACACGAATAGATAATTACGTTTTATATGAATAACAAAAAGGTTTGTATAGCATGTGTGACAGAAGTACAAAGAACATGTTAAATGGAACAGCTGTAGAGTCAATGTTATCACAAGGGGGTCGATTGTCCAGTATTCGAGGACAAGCCAAAGCGGCAAATCACAAAAACACAGAGGTTGAAATTGGAATGCAGACTGTCAATACCGTGTATGTCCACCCCTACCGTCGATACATGCCAGAACACGTCGTCGGGCCGAGTCTTCTGATCACGTGATTGGGGATCTGACGCCATTCTATCTGTAGTGCCTGAGCCAGTGCATTTCTCGTCAACGAAGGGTGTGGCAGTTGTCGAATCCGACGTCCAAGATGGTCCCACAAGTGTTCTATCGGAGACATGTCTGGGGATCTTGGTGGCCAAGGCAGGACGGGGACCTTGTTGGCGTTGAGAAAGGCCGATGTGATAGCTGCGGTGTGTGATGTGGCATTGCCTGGCTGAAACAAGGTTCCTGGATTTTGCTGGAGGAAAGGCAGGACATGGGGCTGCAGAACTTCATCAATATACCGACGGGCTGTCAGGTTGCCATCGATGATAATGAGGTCGGTCTTGGTGCCTCCCCAAACCATCACACTCCCTCCGTCACATGGTTCCGTTTCCTGAACGCAACAACGTGCCGTCCGTTCCCCACGCCGGCGGTAGACACGTCTTCGGCCGTCAGCTCTGTTCAACTGGAACCTACTCTCGTCGCTGAAAAGGACTCTTTGCCAGTTTTGCTGCTGCCACTGACGAACACGTGTTGCTCATGCCAATCTTCGACGTCGATATTCCAGCGTTAACGTCATGCCCTTGAACGGTCTGTAGGCTCTGATTCCTCGCTCACGGAGTCGTCTCTAGACTGTCCACCTGCTGACACGATGACCAAGGCTGTGCGCTGATGATGACGTCACAGTGAGGAATCTGTTCCTTAAATGAAGCGTGCGTAGATAACGGTCTTCTTGTGGCGTAGTGACTTTTGGTTGACCGCTCCTTGGCCTGTCTGCTGTCCTGCCAGTTTGTCTGTAACGTGTGACTAATCTGCCAATCGTTCTTTTTGCGCAGCCCATGATTCTTGCAACATGGTCGTGAGTTGCATCCATCTCCAACATTCCAATCGCTCTTTGTCTCTGTTCCACAGTTAATCTAGGCATGTTCTGCGGGGTTTTCAGACACTGATGATTGCAAAGAACAGTTTCCAACGGGTCTTATAACCGATCTTCATCCGCGTGATTTCCTGCACGTGCAGGGAATTTCACTGAATAAAGTCATTTTTACCCGCTTCTGACATGCAGCACGTGAATTTCCTTGAGATACCATATATTGGTGTGTTTGGGCAATGTGTTCCGAACTGTTTTTTCATGTTTTTGACTATATTCAACAATTATAATATAATTCTAACTTTGGGGGCGTTTCTTTTGCACGTGAGTGTATATATCACTATATCCTTGTAAATGTAGCTATGTGTCACTGGATCGGGAGGGAGGTGTCACTTAAAAGTGAGGATACCAGTGACCGTACGTGTGAGATTACCAAAACACAACAGATAATGTTTTTCTCACAAATCTGAGAAACTATGACCGAATTCACAAAATGGAGAGGCGCAAAGAACCTCAGTGTCGCAAAATACTTTCCAAAATCAGTTTGAAGAGCACCAGTATCCATCAAAACTGTAATGTGTTTAACATTGGAACTGTCACCTTTAACTGACGCAAAACCTTCACGAAAAAAGGAAAGTACTCCTCTCTCACAAAAAGAGACATTAGCCAAACCACAAAAAGGCTGTTACGTGACATTCACAAAAGAATTAGGGGAAGAATGACTGTTTCTTGGAAGCGAGTTTTCTACACTTAGAAAAGATATTCCCTGGCTTGAGGCAATATCAACAAGCAGGAGGCTCTGACGGAGTACTATGTTTTTCAACATCTGCAGTAGAACTTGACTTTTTGTCAACAAATTCAGAACCAGACTGCCTGTAAGCTTCCAATTCATAAGACTTCAAAACTTCAGCCAAAACGGCAACCTGATAATCAGAACTCATATCAATAGGTAATGCAGAATATGCTTTCTGAGATTTCCCCATAAAAAAAACTTTGCAACAGCATGGTCCACTGATTTTGAGGTCAAACTGTTAGCCACCTTTTCAAAATGTTGGAAATACTTTTCAACATCATGTGCAGAGAATGTCGGAACAAATCTAATCTGCTTTGAAAGATTAAATGATCCATCACCTGTTCAAGTACGGTAAGAGAGATCATTCTGTAATTCTTTTAGTTCTTTGAGCCTAATATCTTTATCAACTTACATTGGCAGAATCCAAAATTCTCGCTCTTCTTTCTCAGCTTCCAATCTCAATTATTCCTTTTCTTCCCCTGCCTCATTTCATTTTAAAAGTCGAATTGCTATTGCCAATTATTTTCTTTTAAATTCTGATTTGTTCAAATAAAAAACCCATCAGTTTCATCTTCAAGCAAGGCCAAAGCATCATCATCCATTACCTCTTCGTCAACCAGGTGTGTAATTAAAACAATCTTGACATCTGCCTTAAGCATACCTGATTCAGACATTTTTGAGCACAGGAACTTCTTTCGTTGAAAGTTGAGGAACAAATTCCTCTACACTTAACACCATAGTGATTGTTGGCTTCACACAATATAAGACAATAAAATGTTTATTTAGCCCCAAATCTCCGTTATGTGTCGATTCCCAAATTGAAACAATATCAACCCAGAAATCTGTATGTAAAATAATTAGTGTGAAACCAACAAACAACCAACATGTGGTAAACTATCAATAAATGTATTACAAAATTCACTTGGATTGCAAATCAATACAGATTACTGCACAGTAATTACAATGGCAGTATACAATAGAGTGGCGGTACAATATCCAATGACATTATATTATATGATGACAGTGGTCGGAATCAAATACAAAAATACAGTGTTGAAAGAAAAAGTCAGTGAAAAAAGTATATTCACCCAGTGTCGACAGTCAAACTTCCGGGATAGGCATTGACAGGGAATTTTGGGTGATGAGTGTTCTTCACACTAAAGCTTGTTTTAGATGTAATGAAATGTGTGAAAGAAGAGGTACGCTCTTGTCCCCTTACATACAGTCGAACTAGCTACTGGAATTTCAAGACGATGCCATCACAACATGGCACTATTCTTAGACTATTCTACATGTTTCTATATAACACTCTATCAAAGTCCACGGTATACCAAAAGTTTAGACATCACACTAGCACTAACTTCCACACTCACAACTGCTTACATTGAATAGTACTACATTCCTGACAACTAATCACTGTCCAAATACATTGCAATAAGCCTCTACCGAATCGCAACAGAAACAATGTAATACAGTTCCAATCATTGTTTAACAATAAACTACACTATCATATAACAACAGTGCCTGTCAACTGCCCCCCTGGAAGGTATGGACCAGGATGTACTCAGTTCTGCAGTTCCCGCAACTGTAAAACACCATCACCAGTGTGTGACGTCACAGGGTCATGCACCGATGGATGCCGGGAAGGCTGGCAGAACGCTGACTGCAGGATACGTGAGAATTAATTCAAGAATGATGATTTATTGCTTCAATAGTTCACGTATTGCTGCTATTATATAATGTATATCTACATGACATGACTTTCTATGCTGAAGCTGGTAAGAATTATATTGAGTTATTATGCACTAGCAGGGCAACACGAGGATAAAACACTTAAGTTTAGTTTTGTTTTAAGCATTAAACTACATTGTATACAGTGTCATGAAATATGTCATACCAACTGAATGTTATATGGTCATTGAATTGAGACTGAAATTTCATAGTTAAATAACATGATTATTGTCCCTCTTTGCTTGAATATTTAATCTGTTTCCTTGTTGTATGAAAACATATAATTGTATGTCTAATGTACATTCTTTGTGTGAAGCATGTCCGAGTGGGCAGTACGGGGCCAACTGCAGCAAGTCTTGTGATTCACGTCAATGTGAAACTTCACCAGTTTCCTGCGATCACATGACAGGAACATGCGCCGCAGGATGTCGGGAAGGATGGATCGGAGGAGACTGTACCATGAGTATGTTTCTGAAAACTCTTATTAGAAACGTAGACACGACATTGATGTACATATATGAAATACATTTGGTACACATTAACCAAAATGCATAACACAAACCTAACAATTCAGAAAAATAACACTTCATGAAAACCATACTCTCGTTTCTTTCATGGTCATAAGGCAGTACTCGCCCTAATGGTGGACACACTACATTGGAGTTTACGATAGTGAACTCATACTGCTGTTCGGTTTGCAATTTGTCATCACTCATCAGACTCACATATAGAAGTGTGATATGCTTATTCGTTCCTATTTTAAAAAGTGGAATAAGAATGGATATATTAAATCTAAAACATTTACAGACACTTCATATATTGCCAGACATTAGCATTTTTCAGTATGCTTTTAGGTTTGTTTAAGTGACACTAATAATGATGAAGTCTTCAGTTATACTGCTGAACTTATGTAGATGTTTTTCAGCTATGTAAAAATGCAAGTATTTGTTGTAAATCACTGTATAATACTGCTGGTTCTATTAAACAGCAACAAAAAGCATGACATGATATGTCATAACTGAAACATGTCTCAATTTACTTCTCTGTCATACCTTTTCATCACTTAATACCTGAACTGCCAATCTTCAGAATGCAAACCTGGAACCTTTGGGCCTGACTGTTCTCGTTGTGGACACTGTGACGTCACATGTAATGTTGGAGATGGACGCTGTCCAGGAGAATGTCTGGATGGCTTTACCGGTGACCGATGTGATATAGATGTCAGAGGTTCGAATCCCATTTAGGTCTTCTTCCTTTACAATCAGGTTTTTTGTTATCCGCATTAACGCTGCTATGTATTATGCATTAAGTATATGATGAAACAAACGTTTTATTCACTGTGATTTTAGATACGTTGGCATATACGTATATATCTATTCACAGTACATGTTAAGCACCAGACTAATGTGACTTTGTATCTTATCCAGTGTCTCCTGTTACAAGTGGTGTCATTGGCGGAGCAGTAGTCATGGCTGTAATGCTGTGTCTGAATGCTGGGTTGATGATCTTTCTGTGGAAATCTGGAAGGTAACTTTTCATAACATTTTGTATTATTAAATAACAGAGTACAGGTTTTGAAGTCTTTCCTTGTGGGTTGAGCACGAGCATCTATTATATTTCTACAATACTTCTACTGTTCAGGGGGCGGTCGGGTAGCCTAGTGGTTAAAGCGTTCGCTCGTCACGCCGAAGACCCGGGTTCGATTCCCGACATGGGTACAATGTGTGAAGCCCATTTCTGGTGTCCCCCGCCGTGATATTGCTGGAATATTGCTAAAAGCGGCGTAAAACCAAACTCACTCACTCACTCTACTGTTCAGACTGAAACGGATACCCCTAAGTGGCACACCCCCCACAGAGGTGAAAAAGACAAACACAGGCGACACTGGAGAGATTCCTGCTCCTGTGCCCTCTCCTGGCATGAATGGGGACGACTATACTGAGTTGAATGAGGTCACCAGGGAGAGAGAGAAGTCACATTGTGATGTCATTCAGAACAAAGTATATGAAAATAATCAAATCTGAGTGAAGAGTCTTCTATATGTGCTGTGACGTACGTATCATGTTCACAAAGCATCATGTTCTGTCTAGAAGTACACATCAAGGTGTATATATATATATATATATACATTGTATATGAGGGGTTATAACATGAAAAACTTTGATCCCGTCTCATATATGATCTAAGTACCATGGTTTAAGTTTTACCCCCCTTTTTGGTAGTTTGTAGATTTTATATGTAGCGTTGTGCAGCCCTTGAGCTTAGCACAATATACATATGACGATCATTGTGATTTATATGCGTTATGTGACTACTATATGAATCATTTTCCATTTTTCATATTTTATGCATCTAAGCTACATATGTTTCATATTCAAATTAGTTTAGTCGAGTATATGCATAACCATACTTCTGTTGCTGAAAGTGCAAATCAACAACACTTACTGTGAATATGGTGAATAGTGCAGAAGTGGGCAATGTCGGCTGCCAGTACTTAAGGTTACAAACGCTGACATGAAGTAAACTGCTCTCAGATCAGTACGTAAGATGTACATTTGTGTATCTTCTGTTGCACCTGAGATTCAATAACATACTAAGGACACACAATTTCGATACAATGTTAGCCAGACTAACAATTGTATGTCTTACAGTTTTTTTAAGGAATAACTTTGATGGTGTTACATGCTAAGTTCTTAAGTTCAGATGTGCCGGGTGTCTTTTGTGTGGCAATATATACATTACACCGGGCAATAATGCTTGTTTGTGGTATCACGCCTCAATATGCAAGCTCTATGACGGGGGTATATAAATAAAGTGGCTGATATTATGAGCATCTATATCTGCGATTGGGATATGATGACACGCATCAACCAAATAAGTGAGTCTGACCACCCGATCCCGTTAGACGCCTCGTAGGATAAGCACGAGTTGCTGAAGCCCAATTCTTCATGACGAATTACTTATCAAAGCAGTATAAGAATCACGTTGAATACAAAAAGATTTATCTAAAAATCGACTTCACTCATGTTCTTGTGTCAATGTTTTATCATCATCTTACCCATCCTTCACCTCTTTCTTTCAATATATTAAGATGTACCTACGAAGTTGTATCAACTGCGGGTTGTGAATAATTATTTATAGTTAACAAAAGAACCATTAGCAATTGAATGAAATAATGAAACTTGATAGTCGACGACATGGATATGCAACTTACTCTCTGCTATAACTTTTGTTTCTCGCACGTCTGAGTCTCTCGACTCAGTGGCTTGTTTTGTCCTGAAAATATTTGAATGTTTACAGACAGTCAATGTTTCATTTTTCTAGGTTTTGTGAGGACAATTATACCCGTAATTGGGTGTCCTCAGATCTTTGTTTAGCGGTATGCAGAACTAAGATCTGATTTTAATGGGATTGAGAGTCATCGAACTGTTTGTTCTGAATTGGACAGTGTATTTTAGAAACGGATGTCCTTAAACCGGTATTGCTGGAGCCATGGAACTTTCTTTCCTAAAGCCACTGTATCTGTGTGACTATTTCCCCGCACCGGAATTGATACGATGTAACCGGTAGTGGGTATAACTCTTTTATTAAAACAACTGTAAACACATGATTTTCTTGTTTAATACTAAACAGGCATGTGATTCCTGTACAAAATCGATTTCATTACATTGGAAATTATGTCATAAGAGTGGAATGTATAACTCTCGAGTCAAAGACCACGAATCAACGACCCAATCTTGAGGCGCATACAGCTCGAGTGGCACTGTTGTATATGCAGGAGTACACTCTCATGGTTCACAAGAACCAAACCCCAAATGTCAAGAACCCATTGGACATGGGTGACGTTAGCTATCTTCTAGTGACACAACATTTAGTACAATGCGTATTGTATAGGAGTTGCAGTGTACACATGACATAATATCGAGACATATATATTAACCAACATGAAACAAATTTCACACTAAGTTAGGTGTGGGTATATTTAGTAACTACAAACTGTTAATGTGATGTTAACCCAATCGCTGATCCTTGAGCCGCAGGTAGAAGTTGGATAATGTGGGAATGTGTTTGTTAGAAAGTCTAAATTAATTTCAATTTCAGTCAGGCCATTCGCAATATTAGATAATTGTTGCCTCTTCTGCTTATTTCAAAACTTGGGTGGACGATTATATATGGCGGCCTCCACCAGAGCACATGATTTGTCTGGACCAACGAGAACTATCAAAAGTTTTGAATTTGAGATCCATTCCCCTATGTCATGATTAGTCCAGAGGCAGCTCTCTCCTACTGCATCGTCATATACTGTGTTAAGGCATGCCAGTTACAATCAAGAGCATCCTTGTAACTCCTGTCACTAAATGTACCCAACCCCTCTATCCTGTACTGCAATGTTAGATTGATCTCACTGCAACAGTAACTTGTGGGTCATCAGACTCATGTTGCTTCGTGGATATATTCCACTCCACTGGAATGGGGCCTGGTCAATTTCATCAGAGATCAAGGAGCTACTTGACACGTTTCAGTAACACATACAGTACATTCAGTAACACTAACACATACCTGAAGCGTTTCTTAAAAAAACTCTCCGCACAATTTGAGAATCTGTAACGATGTGTAATACATTTTTTGTTTCCCACAGAAGGTGTCTCTTTTAATATCAAAATAACAATTAATATGCAATAGTAATTATCTATAAGATAATTCACACTTGAAAATAGAACTATTGCATGTTCAGATAAAACAATTACAACACTTGCAATTATATCCTAACTCAGCATTCATTTAACGCTCACTCAACATACCTGTGAATTATAACAACTCGGATGTTTGATGGCAGATTTTCGACATGGTGTGTGCTGGGTCAGTAACCCATGTAGTTTTTTTTTGGAGGACAGACATGTAACCTGCCTCTACAACAATTGCAGGCATTGCACGTACCAGAGCACAGGATGTAGCTGACAGACAACAGAAAGCTTGTACAATTACAATTACAGACTGATACATTACTTGCTAGAAAGGTATGCGTTAGTGACATAAATCATGAGTAATATAGAACAGACTAAGGTCAAATTCAGCCTGCGACATAATGTAGTGCCAGAAGTTGATGACATTAAACAAGCCAGCTCCTCACAGCGAAGCTCCCTGTGACGAAGGTTTTCAAGCGCTGGGACTGTAAACATAAAAGGAGGACACAGGACACTCCATTACAGAGTTTCCATTCACTTCCAAAAGAAAAAAAACAACAACAACAACTTGCCACAACACCAATGCTCCCAACTGGTCTCCATGGGTATGTCTATTTCGTGCATATATGTCCTGTTCCCAAATACACAATGATGTCATCTTACCCGTGAAGATCCGGGGTAGAATAGATCGTTAGCAACCTATGCTTACCTTCAAAGGCGACTAAGCTTGTCGTAAGAGGCGACTGACGGGATCGGGCGGTCAGGCTCCCTGACTTGGTAGATAAGTGTCATCGTATCCCGATTGCGTAGATGGATGCTAACGATGTCAATCACTGGATTGCCTGGTAAAAACTTGATCATTTATAGGTCGCTGTCATCAAAATGGAATATTGCTGAGTGCGGCATTAAATAACAAATAAACAAACAAACAAACACAGTGGTATTATCACTGAGGACATGGCACATGATTGCATGTTGGTTATTGACATTTAAATGCATTAAAATATCTGAAATCCACTTTAAGTTGCTGCAATGTAAAAGACATTTATTTACATAATATGTTATTAACAGTAAAGACAAAATAAACTATAACGACAAAAGTAGTTTCAAATAAACAGCGTTCCATGTCTATATTTCCTGTATTTTAAATGTATATGATGTTATCCAGAATGTGGGTTGATAATGTCTATATTCTGAGGACCTCTTTTCGTTGTTGGGCTAACCACTCTTCATTGAATATGAAGTGATGAATAATGCAAAACAATTTTCTGATTGGATACAGTTGTCACATCTGCTGTCGAAAATGTCATTCTGGCTACTAAATGACAATAAACATCATGAAGTTTGCTGCTTTATACTTTATACCGAGAGAGCTAATGATGTACACTTCACTTGCATCCGGGGATATTTTAACGTAAGTTCCATTCAGTTATTGATGCTCACTCGCATACTATTTACGGCAGTGCCCATATATATATTTGTAATATAAATTGTAATATGTAAGTTTTACACAATTATTCGAGTTTCAAAAGTCGCATCAGACGCAAATCAGGCACGCATGCAAGTTACAACAATTCACGTTGAATCTGAGTGTTCACACACAATTAATACAATAACACAAACCATGGATTCAGTGTAGGTGAAATAGAATGGTCGTTTTTAGGAATTAGGTCAATGCCAAATAATTGGATGTTTTTGGAAAAACCATTGTGTGAGTGATTTACAACACAATAGAAGTTTCGGCAAACCGCTGCTTAACATTTCAACGCGGTTATGAGAACGTAATGGGAGTCAGACATGATGTATAAGACATTATCGGGATGTGCATGAAGAACAGGAATAGGAAAAATATGGCTGTTAAAATGACTCTCCTGCTGGTATACACTTGTCTCCGTTAGTACGGCTAAAGTTGGTTGGTTGGTTGGTTGGTTGGTTGGTTTGTTGTTTAACACACCAGTCGGCAGTATTCCAGCTACATTGTATATGACGGTGGTCTGTAAATAATCGAGTCTTACTCGAAAATCCAGTGATTGATATCATGAGCATCGATCCACGCATTTGGGATCGATGACATGCATCAACCAAGTCAGCGAGTCTGGCCACCCGATCCTGTTAGTCGCCTTTTACGGCAAGCATGGGTTATAAGTTATAAGATACCATATGTATCATAATGTAAGTCTGACGTATCTAAAACTGAACCGTAGTATTATCTCAATACACAGACATCTTGAATATTGAAAGTACTGCAAAGTCCTTTACAAGAGTAATCAATCTTAATGGGAGAAAAGCAATATGCAATGTTGAATGTGTGTTTAAGGTAAAAGTATGATGGTGGTTTGTGTACATAGGTGTGTATGTTGAGAGATGGATATAACATACTACATTAACATTAATGCCAGCACTAAATGTAAGAGAAATTCCACGATTCAATCATGAAACTGCCATACTTTTATTTAGACAACTAAATATAAGGCTGATTACTTGCAACTATGCTGTATTTATCTCGGATTTATATGGAACCCGATTGCAAGATAGCAAACACACAGAGCGATGGATTCAACAAAAACATACAAAGGTTTGCAACAGGAAGAATATAACA